AGACGGGATTCATGGCACCCGGCTTGGTGGCCGAGGGGCTGGAGGATGGACATGGGAGCGGGGAGGCTGGAGGCCCGGGTCTGGTTCAGGGGCCACCGTGTCCTTGTGTGTGGCCTAGGCCCAGCCTTGTGGTCCCCGGGCTTCCTGCACTCAGAGGCACGGACACTGGCCGGGGGCAGTGGGCCCTCCGTGGCCCCCACAAGGCAGCGAGCGGGGGGCGGAGGCTCTTCGTGAACCGCGAGGCATCACGCCGGCCAGGGTGGATGTGCTCAGGGCACCCCCCTCCCCGGGTCCGCACGCAGCACACTGGATGTGTGTCCGTGCGGGCAGGCGCGCGCACCGCTCCGTGGGGGCGGGGGCCACACCCTCGGTGCCCAGCAGGCAGCAGGACCTCTGCGCGGCGGGGCTCCTGGGTCCTCTACGCTCTCCATGCAGGGAAAGAGCGAGGGCCCCCCATGGGGGGACGCAGACTCTGGCCACAGGGGAGGTGCTCAGGAGGAGACAGGGACCGGCGTGCCCCCCGCCCTCGTCCCACCTGTGGTGACGCAGGCCCAGTGGCCCCCACGCTGCCTCGCGCTGCAGAGCCCGCAGCATCCCCGCCCCCGCCCCGAGCTCCCTGGCCCGGCGGTGCTTGCTGAGAGGAGAGAGAACCTGGGCCCCCCAGACCGCTGAGGAGGGCGGAGCAGCACGACCAGCCGTGTGCCAGCGGCCCCCCTTGCCGTCCTGCGACCGGCCGGCTCTGCCCAGACCGGGCCCAGATCCCAGGAAGGTCCCCGGGGCTCGGAGCAGGGAGCAGCGGGACGGCGGGTCCTGTCCCCAGGGCGCCCCCCTCCCGGCAAGGCCCTCTCTCCGCAGAGCCCTCCCCAGGGCCCGGAGGCAGGAGGGTCCGAGACATGGGGGGCGTCGCTCTCCGGAGGAGGGCGGCGGACATGGGCTCGCGGGCTCGCGGCTGGGCGTGCGAGCAGGCGAGGAGGAGCAGGGCGTGCCCCTGGAGAGCTGGTTGGGCGGCCCCGCCTTGCTGGCACAAGCCTGGTTTCACGTGGGCTGACCCCTGGGGACCAGACGGCCTTTTCATCAGGGCCTGCCCAGCACACACCCGGGGCTGGGCAGCTCCTGCCCGGTCCGCCAGGGCTGGACAGAGCTCCCCGGACATGGCCAGCCCGCAGCTGTCCCCCAGGTCAAGGGGCACAGGGAAGGCTCGTGGGCCACGGCAGCCCGGTCGCGGGCCAGGCCTCCAGGCCGCACACGCAGTGCATGGGGGTGCCTGCGCCCCCAGGCCGAGGTCAGCCAGGCAGCCAGCAGCCCGAGTCCCACGCCCCGGCACGGACGGCGGCTGAGCCCCTCGAGCCCGGCCCTGTCCTGGCTCAGGGAGGGACCTCTGGGTGGGGAGTGTGGGGCGATGACAAGGACCGACCCTCACAGAGGGAGAGCACCCGGGGCCGCCGGTGACCGCGCTGAGAGTCGCCCGAGATGCCCAGAGGAAGGCTCGGTGTTGGGGGCGTGGCAGGGATCAGAGCAGCCTCTGCAGAGGAGACAGGGGAGCGCGGCCTCGGAGGGACAGGGGCCAGATGTCAGAGGAGGGGTGAGGGGCGATCGCCCGGATGGCAGGCGGTCTGGGCCGGGGCGGGGAGGCCGGGGCGGGCGGAGTTGGGCCGGTGTCCGGGGCTGCTTAAGCAGCGGCTGGGAGGGGCCCTGCCGGGCGTTTGTCCGGTCCCTGGCAGAGGCGAGGGCTAATGAAGGCTTTGTCCGAGGGCGGTCAGGGTGCCGGCCCCACCAGGCAGGCGCCAGGCCGGCCCGGGCCCCGGCGGGGCACGGAGGCCAGAAGGAGCGGTCCCTTCCTGCACGCGTGGTCCTGGGTCCTGTCTGATGACCTTGATCCGGTGGGGGCCCTGCAGACTGAGAGGGGCCGCCTCCAGCTCCTTGAGACCCGGGGTCTGACGCTGACCTTGGGTCACACCTGGGACTGTCCCCGTGCCTGCACGGTGAGGGCTGGCATCCGAGGGCTCGCTGGCGGAAGAGGAGCAGGAGGGGGAGAAGGCGTTGGGCGGGGGAGCACTCAGGTGGGGGTGAATCCACACATCCGAGGAGGGGCGCAAGGGCAGACACGGGGGAGTCACGAGGGCCCGGTCTTCAGCAGAAGGGGGCGCAGAGCGGGGCCCACCTGGGAAGGTGGAGCCTAGGGGCGGCTCCCCCGGGACAGCCCCCGGGTCTCCCAGGCGGGGACACACTCCGGCCCCCCTCGCTGTCCAGCCAGGCTGCTCCATGACAGAGAGGTCAGCCTCTCGCCTCTGGAATGTTTTGATCCACGGCTCCTCCCACCGGAGGCTGAAGTTTCCCAGGAAAGCCTGAGATAACCAGTCAAGAGGTGTGTGTGTATGTCTCACTGTCCTTTGTGTTCCAAGTGGGGACAGTGCCAGCAGATTGGTATCTGTGTGTGGGGGTGGGCTCCCCTGCCTGCTGGGCACAGGTGCGCCGCCTGTGGCCGCCGCCCCCTGCCACGCAGCTGCTCAGGGGCCTGGAAGGCAGGGGTTGGGAGGGAGGGGGCCTCGTTAGTCACCGTGACCACATAGTGAGGCGCTGTCCTCCCTGGGGCCTGTGCCGTCTGGGCGGACCACCAGCTGTCCACCTTCTCAGCAGTAGCTGCTGGGGGAGGCCACCCGTGTGGACCCCTTTCCGGGGCTGTGCTGGCTTTGGGGTTTGCCCCGCCCGTACCAACCTGGCAGCAGCCGTGGGCGGGGCTGGGGCCATAAACCCTCAGCCAGGGCCTGGAGGCAGCCCGCCTGCCCCGGTCAGAGTGGCCGCAGGACACTGACAAGCCCCTGTGCAACGGCCGCGCGCACGGCGCCCCGTGCTCCGTGGACGCGTGTTCACGCCTTCTCCGGGCACACAGTCACTACAGCGGCTTTACAGAGGAGGCCGCAGAGGCCCGCCGGGTCTGAGTGACTCGGGCAAGGGGTGTAGCCAGCGCTGAGCCCGGATGGCCGGGCCCCAGAGCGACATTCACGAGCCCCGGGCTCCCTCTGCTGTGGGCAGCTCAGGGATGTGCCGAGCCCCACGGTGCCACTTCCGCCTGAGGGATAAAGGGGAAGAACCGCAGGCACCAGCCAGGACCGAGGCCGCCTGCGCAGGGAGGGCTGGGCGGCCGCTGCCTCGGCCACCAGACAGTACAGCCCGCCAGCAGCCCAGAGACCGGAGCGGAGCTGGGGCTCCCGGAGCAGGCGAGGCTGCTGGCGGGGGGCGGGGGCGCTGGGAGTGCAGGCCACAGGGGTGTCCCTGCCTGCCCCGCCACGCCTGCCCCCTGCGGGGCGCGGCCGCTCCCCGTGGGCAGGGCCACCCTGCTGCTTCCCCAGCTGGGAGAGCGAGGCCCCAAGGCCTCCGGGAGCTTACTCAGCAGGATCGCCAGGCGCTGGGTCTGGGCCAGGACCAGGCCCCGGGCGCCTGGTCAGGCGGCCGAGATGACGACACGGGGTGTCATTTACTGAGAACAAGGGCGCTCCTGTTGCATTGCCATTTAAGGCTTCGCCGGCTGTCCTGCTGGGGAGCCCTTCGCTCCCCCGCCACTTGCGGCCGACACCTCCCTCCCCTGGGAGAACGGAGGCGAGGGGGCGAGGCCTAATTGCATCCTTTGCGTGTTATCTGCAAGGTGTGCAGGCCCAGTCCCAAGGCTCCCAGAGCTGCCCCTCCCCGCCCCCCCTCCCGTCCTGCCCCTTTGCCCCCCCACGCCCGCCTGCCCGCTCCCGCCCTCGGGGGAGGCTGGTTTGACCCAATGCGGGAAGGCGGCTGCTGCCCATGCCCAGCTGGGTTCCCCCGGCAGAGGGTCCAGGGCTCCCACATCTGGCAGCCACGTCTGACAGGCAGCTGGACCCACGGGTGGTTTCTTGCTCTCTGAGGCTCTTCCTCCGGGAGCCTGTGTGGCTAGATCTGGCGTGGGGGGGAGTTATCCTGCTGCCTGAGTGCCCCCCACACGCTCACACGTACACTCACACACTCACCCACACACATACACTCATTTACACACTCACCCCCACACACACACTCTCACGCACTCACACAGACACTGACAGACACACTCCCACACTTGCACGCAGGCCCCCGCACGGGCAGAGGCGAGTCCCAAGCCGCACCTGGGTGCAGACGTCGCATCAGGCTCCGCGCCGATCCTCCCTTCTCGGGGCGAGTCAGCGCAGGCAGCACCCGCTGGGCTCGGGGAAAGGCCCCTAGGCCAGCCGTCTTCCCAGCTCGGTTCTCAGCTCAGCCGAGGGCTGGGCGGGCTCCCAGGTGGGCTCCCGCAGCCCTGGGTAGGGAGGTCACTGCTGTGTGGTTTCCTGTTGGGCTGAGTTTCTGCTCGGCCTCCCACCGCGTGCCTGACAACCAAGCCCCAGAGCCCCAGCCCCCCACACCGCAGCCCCCTACCTCCCTATGAGCAGGCGCCCCCAAAACAGAAGGCCCTGGAGCGGGAGGCCATCCCCCCTTCAGCCTTCGGTGGGGACCCCTGGCTCGCCTGCCCCAGTTTGCTTCTCGCCATGGCAGAGAGGGGGTTCGGCCAAGGAACAACAGTGGGACGTGGCGGTGGCCGGCACAGCAGACATGCCCCCGCGGTGGGGACGTGGGCGCAGGTCCCGCTATTGCCCTTCCCTGTGGGAGCCACCGTTGGAAGGGCCCTCTTCTCTCTGGGCCTCTGGCTGCCCCTCCACGTGTAACCAGAGGCATGAGGTCAAATATTTCTGCCTTCAGCCCACAGTGAGAAATGCACTTCTCGGGGCTGCCAGCACTGTGGCATCCTACGCTCCGGTTCAGATTGTTCTCGTCGCGTCCTTAAAGCGGTGGCCGCCGTCTGCTGAAGGGCTTTCATGAGACGTAACGGGCCGCAGCCTATGGCTCGGAAAGGATCCCGTCCGATGCCGGCCGAGGGGCCTTGCCCTCCAAAGCGTCTGGGGCTCCGTGAGCATCGGTGTGGGGGCCGGGAACCCCCCTGAGCCTCTGTCCCTCTCTCTGGCCAGCTCTACAATGGGACCCTCAAGCGGGAAGCTGACAACCGGCGCTTCAGCTCCTACAGCCAGATGGAAAACTGGGGCCGCCAGTACCCCCGCAGCAGCGGCCACGCAGGCAGCGACATCTGCTTCATGCAGAAGATCAAGGCCAGCCGCAGCGAGCCGGACCTGTACTGCGACCCGCGGGGCACCCTGCGCAACAAGAACACGCTGGGCGGCAAGGGCCACAAGACCACCCAGAGCCGCTACAGCTTCTACAGCACCTGCAGTGGGCAGAAGGCAAAGTGCCCCGTGCGCCCGCCCTCCTGCATCTCCAAGCAGGACCAGGTGTGCATCCCGCCCACCTCCTGCAACAAGGACATGTCCTTCAGCCACTCCAGGGCCAGCTCCAAGTGAGTGCGCTGGGTGGGGGTGGGGCTGGGGGCGGGACCTTGGCATGGGTAGAGGAGAGGGTGCAGGGGTAGGAGACAGGAAAGACACAGCCCCTGTGTCTGGGGAGCTCCAAATTCCTCCCGGGGGCATTCCCACTATGAAGGAACCACCCACGGAACGCAGGCCGGGAGCAAATATGCTGACTGTGTGGGCTTTGAACGTGTCGCGGGGAGGCTGGCTGGAGCAGGTGAGCGAGGCCAGCAGTTCACAAGGTGTGCACCTGCATCAGCAGAAGCAGCGGCCCTGGGAACGTGGGAGAAATGCTAATTCTCAGGCCCCGCCCAGGCCTGCTGACTCAGAGCTCTGGGAGCGGGGCTGGCACCCTGCCCTGCGGGGACGTGACTCATGCGCCGGCGTGAGGGCCTCTGATCTCAGGCACCTCGATCCACCTCTGAGAGCAGGTCGGGCCGTGACCGAGTGCGGAAGGGGCACGGTGAGGACCAGCCTGGTGGGGGCGCGCCCTGTGAGGGGCTGGGGAGTCCGGCACAGGCGAGCCCAGTGACTCAGTTAAAAATAGGAAATTGCTGCATCGGTGGCTCCAAAAAGGTCCGCTGTCAGCCACTTCATAGGGTTCAGCCTCACAGCCGCCCGTGGGTAGCCGTCTAAATCGTCTGCCCTGGGCACTGCAACACAGAGAAGACACGGAGGGGACAGCTCAGTGCGCAGGGTTAGGACGCCTCAGCTGCGCAACGGGGGTAAGGTGGGGGATGGGGGAACGCGGAGGACAGAGCCAGTTGCGGGGTCCCTTCCTGAGGTCTCCGTGACAGAGGTCAGGGTCGGAAGGAAGGCGGCAGCCCTGAGGGTGGGAAGAAGGAATGGGTGGGAGGATTTTTGTGTAAGGAGAGTTAACTAGACTTGGAAATGGAAGGAAGGAGAGAGGAATGGACAGACGGATGGATGGATGAAGGGAAGGAATATGGACGGACAGAGGATGATGGATGGATGATGATGATGTGTGGAGGGAAGATGGACGGATGGATGGACAGATGATAATGGATGGATGATGATGGTGTGTGGAGGGAAGATGGATGGATGGACGGACAGATGATAATGGATGGATGATGGTGTGTGGAGGGAAGATGGACAGATGGATGGACAGAGGATGATGGATGGATGATGGTGTGTGGAGGGAAGATGGACGGATGGATGGACAGAGGATAATGGATGGATGATGATGGTGTGTGGAGGGAAGATGGATGGATGGACGGACAGATGATAATGGATGGATGATGGTGTGTGGAGGGAAGATGGACAGATGGATGGACAGATGATAATGGATGGATGATGGTGTGTGGAGGGAAGATGGACGGATGGATGGACAGATGATGATGGATGGATGATGGTGTGTGGAGGGAAGATGGACGGATGGATGGACAGATGATGATGGATGGATGATGGTGTGTGGAGGGAAGATGGACGGATGGATGGATGGACAGATGATGATGGATGGATGATGGTGTGTGGAGGGAAGATGGACGGATGGACGGACAGATGATGATGGATGGATGATGGTGTGTGGAGGGAAGATGGACGGATGGATGGACAGATGATGATGGATGGATGATGGTGTGTGGAGGGAAGATGGACGGATGGATGGACAGATGATGATGGATGGATGATGGTGTGTGGAGGGAAGATGGACGGATGGATGGACAGATGATAATGGATGGATGATGGTGTGTGGAGGGAAGATGGACGGATGGATGGACAGATGATGATGGATGGATGATGGTGTGTGGAGGGAAGATGGACGGATGGATGGACAGATGATGATGGATGGATGATGGTGTGTGGAGGGAAGATGGACGGATGGATGGACAGAGGATAATGGATGGATGATGGTGTGTGGAGGGAAGATGGACGGATGGATGGACAGAGGATAATGGATGGATGATGGTGTGTGGAGGGAAGATGGATGGATGATGGTGTGTGGAGGGAAGATGGACAGATGGATGGACAGATGATGATGGATGGATGATGGTGTGTGGAGGGAAGATGGACGGATGGATGGACAGATGATGATGGATGGATGATGGTGTGTGGAGGGAAGATGGACGGATGGATGGACAGAGGATAATGGATGGATGATGGTGTGTGGAGGGAAGATGGACGGATGGATGGACAGATGATAATGGATGGATGATGGTGTGTGGAGGGAAGATGGACGGATGGATGGACAGAGGATAATGGATGGATGATGGTGTGTGGAGGGAAGATGGACGGATGGACGGACAGATGATGATGGATGGATGATGGTGTGTGGAGGGAAGATGGACGGATGGACGGACAGATGATGATGGATGGATGATGGTGTGTGGAGGGAAGATGGACGGATGGATGGACAGAGGATGATGGATGGATGATGGTGTGTGGAGGGAAGATGGACGGATGGATGGACAGAGGATAATGGATGGATGATGGTGTGTGGAGGGAAGATGGATGGATGATGGTGTGTGGAGGGAAGATGGACAGATGGATGGACAGATGATGATGGATGGATGATGGTGTGTGGAGGGAAGATGGACGGATGGATGGACAGATGATGATGGATGGATGATGGTGTGTGGAGGGAAGATGGATGGATGGATGGACAGATGATGGATGGATGATGGTGTGTGGAGGGAAGATGGATGGATGGATGGACAGATGATGGATGGATGATGGTGTGTGGAGGGAAGATGGATGGATGGATGGACAGATGATGATGGATGATGGTGTGTGGAGGGAAGATGGACGGATGGACGGTCAGAGGATGATGGATGATGATGGTGTGTGGAGGGAAGATGGACAGATGGATGGACAGATGATAATGGATGATGATGATGTGTGGAGGGAAGATGGACGGATGGATGGACAGAGGATAATGGATGGATGATGGTGTGTGGAGGGAAGATGGATGGATGGATGGACAGATGATGATGGATGGATGATGGTGTGTGGAGGGAAGATGGACGGATGGATGGACAGAGGATGATGGATGGATGATGGTGTGTGGAGGGAAGATGGATGGATGGATGGACAGAGGATGATGGATGGATGATGGTGTGTGGAGGGAAGATGGACGGATGGATGGACAGATGATGATGGATGGATGATGGTGTGTGGAGGGAAGATGGACGGATGGATGGACAGATGATGATGGATGGATGATGGTGTGTGGAGGGAAGATGGATGGATGGACGGACAGATGATGGATGGATGATGGTGTGTGGAGGGAAGATGGACGGATGGATGGAGAGAAGATGGGCGATGGGTGAATGACGGACAGAGGGACAGATGGAGGGAAGAGGGAAGGTAGGCAAATGGGTGGCTGGGCAGGCTCACGGCCACACCCTTCCATTGGCCCAGGACCAGGCACAGGTGCGCGTGATGGCAGAGGAGGAGGGGAGCGTGCCTCGAGAGCAGGGCAGAGGTCCCTTACCCACTCAAACATTGACCTGGGCCAGGGCCTCCCCCCAGGGGGGCAGTCCCACAGGGTGTCGCCAGGTGGGCCTGGCTGCCTCGTCCTGACGCTCTGGAAGGCAGACGAGGCTGCAGCAGCTCGGGTGTGCGAGGGGGACTTCTGAGTCCCTGCAGCAGGGCCCCTGTCACCCACGCCGTGGCCATTCCTTGCAGGATCTGCAGCGAGGACATTGAGTGCAGCGGGCTGACCATCCCCAAGGCAGTGCGGTACCTGAGCTCCCAGGATGAGAAGTTCCAGGCCATCGGGGCCTATTACATCCAGCACACCTGCTTCCAGGACGAATCGGCCAAGCAGCAGGTACGTGCTCCTCCTGGTCTGGGCACGGCCTGAGGGCCTCGGCCTGAGCCTGCATTTAGAGGCGAGTGGGGGCATTAGCCATGGGCTGCTTCTCACCTGCGCAGCAGCCTGGGGTGAAGGTCAGAACCGGGTAGCTGAACCCTCTGCGCAGAGCAAAGCCCTCTGGCTGAGTGGACATTTCTCAGGTGTCTCCTCATCGGTCACTGTCACTTCACCGACAGCCACGGGTACAGCAGAAACCCCCTGACTCAAACCCCACCAATGAACACGACGACGCCCCCCCCCAAGTCTGTCGCCCCCACCTTCTCTTGGTCTGTCTGTCTTTCTGTGCTCTCCAAACCATGGCCGTCCGTCCCCGGGCTTCTGTGGCGGGGCCAGGGCTTGTCTGTGCCCCCCAGGCTTTCTCGTGGGGGGACCCCTGCAGGACTCTGCGTCCAGCCAGGGCAGGTCGTGCCACGTGTCTCCTGGAGAGTCCAGGATTCGTCTGCTCTGAAGCTTCCAAAGTAGAGAAAGCTTTTCCGGGAGGGTCTCCGTTAGGTCCGTCCTGCTTTAAGGTCTTGAAGTGCCTTTATCCCCCTTTTCTCCCCTGGTCCTCGCCACCGGACCCCAGAGGAGGAAGGCTGGGCGCAGGTGGGAGGAACGCCTGGCTGAGGGTCTGCGCTAGGAGGTGGCGGCATCGGGCTCTGAGCCCCGGCCCCCGCTCCTGGTCTGGGCCATCACCACTCCGTCACGCGGCGTGTTCATTTGGGCTGGCGTGGTTGCTTCTGAGAGTCCCCTCCCTGACCAGTGACGTGGCACCCCTGTCCCGCAGGTCTATCAGCTGAGTGGCATCAGCAAGCTGGTGGACCTCCTGCGCAGCCCCAACCAGAACGTGCAGCAGGCCGCAGCCGGGGCGCTGCGCAACCTGGTGTTCCGGAGCAGCACCAACAAGCTGGAGACCCGGCGGCAGGGGGGCATCCGGGAGGCCGTCAGCCTCCTCAGGAGAACCGGGAGCACGGAGATCCAGAAGCAGCTGACCGGTAGGGAGCCCGGCCGCCTTGGCCTCAGGTGGGACCAGGCCCAGGCACAGGCTCAAGTCCTGGGCGCCCACCGCACCAGCCGATGCGAGGCCCTTGGGGTCCGGGCGGTGACCCGGGCACTGTGCAAAGTCACAAGGGGTTGAGGTCTTGGAGGAGAGTAGGCAAGGAGCGGAAGGCTGGTGTCCAGCCGCAGTCTGTCCTTAGCAAAGACCTTGGGGTTTGTAGGCCCGGGGCCAGGGGCCAACATGTCTTCTGCATGTACCCTGTGTCCAAAAACCATGCTAAGCCCCGAGGGTGGGGCTCAGACACAGCCACCCTGTGGCCCTCGGCCGCGCTCAGCAGGCCTGGACCGTCGGGGATGCTTAACGTTGCAATTCCTGCTGGAAACGCCCGGTCAGTGCCCTTGACCACCTTCCACGGGCATCAGTGCGAGCCATGCAGAAAGCTCTAGATGGGCTCACGAAACGAGGACAGGAGACAGGATCGGCCAGGCCGAGCGGGCGGGTGACGGACGCCCCCAGGAGGCTCACAGGCAACAGCTCACGGGGGTGGCCCCTGGGCCGCGGGCGTCCTCCTGAGCCCGGCCGATGTCTGCCAACGGTCCCTGCCTGACCCACAGGGCTGCTCTGGAACCTGTCCTCCACGGACGAGCTGAAGGAGGAGCTCGTCGCGGACGCCCTGCCCGTCCTGGCCGACCGCGTCATCATCCCCTTCTCCGGCTGGCGCGACGGAAACAGCAACATGCCCCGGGAAGTGGTGGACCCCGAGGTCTTCTTCAACGCCACCGGCTGCCTGAGGTGAGGGGCGAGGGCAGCGGCAGCACCGCTGGTCCTCAGGGCCGACTCCGGCTTCCCGCCCCTCTGCGGACCCGGCCAGCTCCGGCGGGCGTCCCCCGCTGTCCGAAGCGGCGCGGTTCCCCTCCCCCACCAGTGCGGCGCGGCCTTTCTCCCCTGAAGGGCGTCCCCCCAGACAGAAGTCTGCTCTGATCGCTGCGTCGCTTCCGGGCTGCGGGGGGCAGCCCTTTCCACATCCACTGGGGGGCAGCCGGCACTTCTCGGTGCAGAGCGCCCTGAGTTCCTCCCGGGGAGCCGGGGTGGGGGGGCGGGGGGCCCTGGGTGGGGGGCGGAGGGCCCTGGGTGCGCCTCTTTCAGGACAGGTTTACAAGCCGGGAGTGGGTGCTGGTCCTGGGTGGCCAGTGCTTTGGGGTCACGCCTGCTCTCGGGGGAGCCCTGTGCAGGCCGGGGCACAGCTGGCAGGGCTCCTGTCTCTGCCCCCACTGGCCTCCATGGCAGCCTCCAGGGAGCAGGGGCTGGGAGCGCAAAGGGCAGGGGCTTCGGGCTTTACGTACGGGGCGCCCCAGGCCGGCAGGGGTGGGGGGGGCGGGGCGTTGGGGAGTGAGCCCACTGCGGGGAGCAGAGCGCAGCTTCGTCGGGGGCAGGGGCCTCTGGCCCCAGTCCCAGATCCAGCACCGTGCCCCCCCCCCGCCCCCAGAGGGAGACACGGTGGGCAGGAGCCCCAGGGCCTGTCCCCCGAGGTCCCAGGGCTGCCCCGGCGCCCCTGACGCTCGCGGGAGTTGGGCTGGGGGACCGAGTGGGCGGGTAAAGGTGACGTGAGCTTGCGCAGCCTCAGCCGGGGCGGCCGGGGCCAGCTCCCAGCTCCTCCTCTCCCTCCTCCCTCAGCCCTTCGTCCCTCTGCACCCCTGTTTGCGGCTCCTCCCCCCAAACCTGCACGTCCGCAGTGCCCTCTGTCCCTGCCGCCCCGCGCATCCCTGTCCCCGACCACCGCCACTTCCCTCCCTCAGGAACCTGAGCTCGGCGGACGCCGGCCGTCAGACCATGCGGAACTACATGGGGCTCATCGACGCCCTCTTGGCCTACGTGCAGAACTGCGTGGCAGCCAGCCGCTGTGACGACAAGGTGAGAGCATGTCCCCAGGCGGCCCCTCCGCTAGGGCAGAGCCTGCCCGCTGGCTGCTCGGCCTGGTCCCAGGCGGCAGCTCGCCTTTCTGCTCTGCGGGGAGCAGCCCCCTCTGCTGGGTCGCCCGGACCCCGGAAGGAGGTCCCAGCAGGTCCATGCACCCTTCCAGGGCAGCTCGGCCACTGGGACCGCAGTCTGTTCCCCGGAGGAGTGGTGGACCTCTGGGGACAGTGGTGCGCGGCTGGTGCTGGGCCTCCTGTTCCTGTGGATGGGCCAGCCCTGTGGTGTTGGGGGCTGAAGACCAGCTGCGCAGAGGGGCCAGTGGGGACGTGGCGCTCGGTGGCTCTGAACCTGCAGAGGCCAGGCCGCTCCTGAGGGCGCCAGTGCCCGGGGGGAAGGCGCACCATTGCATGACCCCATCTGACCGCCCAGTGCGAGGCCCCCTGATAGGTAGTTACTGAGCCCAGAAGCAGGCGGCTTCAGCCCCTGTGTACGGTCAGGGAGCCCCAGGCCCTGAAGGGCGAGACCGGTTCCTCAGCTCGCACCGGCGGGCGTGGCGGTTCCGGGTGCGAGGCCAGGTGCCGAGGGCCCAGGGGTCTCTGCGGGCTGGGGTGAGCCCGGAGCCGGCGGCTCCAGTGACGGCTCAGGCACGTGCCCCCTTGCCCCCCACCCCAGTCCGTGGAGAACTGCATGTGTGTGCTGCACAACCTGTCCTACCGCCTGGACGCCGAGGTGCCCACCCGCTACCGGCAGCTGGAATACAACAACCGCAACTCGTACACGGAGAAGTCCTCCACCGGCTGCTTCAGCAACAAGAGCGACAAGATGATGGTGCGCGCCCCCCGCCGCCCCCCAGCCTCAGGGGGGGGGCAGCGCGCGCAGGTCCGGTCCCTTCCGGGGGGGGGGGGTCTGCTGACCTGCCCTTTGTCCGCAGAACAACAACTACGACTGCCCCCTCCCCGAGGAGGAGACCAACCCCAGGGGCAGCGGCTGGCTGTACCACTCGGACGCCATCCGGACCTACCTGAACCTCATGGGCAAGAGCAAGAAGGACGCCATCCTGGAGGCCTGCGCAGGGGCCCTGCAGAACCTGACGGCCAGCAAGGGGCTGGTGAGGGGCCCGTCCCGCCCGCGCCCCCGCCCCCGCCCGCGCCCTGGGCGTCCAGCGCGGGGCTGGCTGCCCCCGGCCACCCCCAGCCTCTCCTGGGTCATGTCAGACACGTGGGGGGCACAGAGCTTTGTCCTGCAAATAAGGATGCGGGGCCTGCCCCGGGCCAGGCTCTGGGAGAGGACGGGGGACCAGAGGTGGCCCTCCGGGGACAGGGCCTGGTGAGCACACGGTCACCTGTCTGTTGTTGTGTGGCCGACGTGAAGCGGGGAGGGTGCCCGGCCTCTCTGTGGGGCCACCTGTTCCCCCGTCCCCTCCTTGGGGCCCAGGGAGCTGCGGGCCAGGTCCTCACGCGGTCCCTCTGTCCAGATGTCCAGCGGCATGAGCCAGCTGATCGGGCTGAAGGAAAAGGGGCTGCCGCAGATCGCCCGCCTCCTGCAGTCGAGCAACTCGGACGTGGTGCGCTCCGGGGCCTCCCTGCTCAGCAACATGTCTCGGCACCAGGCGTTGCACAGGATGATGGGTGAGGCCCCGCAGCCCAGGCCGCCCCCTGCCGGGCGACACCCGGCGGACCCCCACTTCCCAGAGGCTGCTGGGAGGTCTCCCCCGCACCTCTCCCTGGCATGAGCCTTCGTGCGGGGACGCTTGGCAGCAGGACAGGGCAGGTCACCAGGGACAGACGGCAGGCGGGCAAGGTCTCACCCGAGCCCCGAGCCCCCAGGGGTGCTGGAGGGGAGCTCGGGGCCGCGCTCCCCAGACCCCTGACCCCGTGCCCGCCCACCCCGCCCTTCCAGGGAACCAGGTGCTCCCCGAAGTGGCCAGGCTGCTCACCAGTCACACTGGCAACACCAACAACTCAGAGGACATCCTGACCTCGGCCTGCTACACTGTGAGGAACCTGATGGCCTCCCAGCCGCAGCTGGCCAAGCAGTTCTTTTCCAGCAGCTTGGTCAACAATGTCATCAACCTCTGTCGCAGCAGGTAGGCAGGCCGGGACGTCCCCGCCCCACGGTGCAACCCCCAGCCCTGCAAAGCACGTGTCCCCAGGCAGGGCGGGGAGGGTCTGAGCCCGGAGCCCCGAGCACCTTGTGGGCCCAGCAGCAGCCAGGCCTCAGGGCAGCGCCCTTCTCCACCAGCAGTCCCCAGGGGACCCTGAGTCCTCCGAGGGCCAGCGGGAGGCAGGAGCAGCAGACCAGCTATGTGCGGGCTTTAATCTGCTCCACGGGGCTCACGCCCCCCAGGACAAGGGACGTGGGGCTGTACCCACTGTGTAGAACGGCCAGCCGGATGCTGAGTGCAGTTCCTCTCTTGTGCACCCCCGGGGCTCCCGTGTCCCCAAGACCTGGAGGTGAGGGTGGGAGGGGGAAGGACCTGGCTGCACGTCCCCTGGAGCGTCGCCCACTAATGAACTTCCCCTCTGCCCAGCACCTCATCCAAGGCTGCAGAGGCCGCCCGGCTCCTCCTGTCTGACATGTGGTCCATCAGGGAGATGCAGAGCATCCTCCGACAGGTAAGGCGCACACCTGACCCTGCTGGCCAGGTGTGCCCGCACTGCTCGGGCGCGGACTGAGTCCTCGTGGATGGAGATGGGCGGGAAGGGAGACGGGGGCCAGCGGTCTGCAGGGCACACCCACCCTGGGGGACCCAAACGGCGGTCATCTCTCCCCTTGCAGCAAGGCTTCGACAGGAATACGCTGGGAAGCTTAGCTGGGGCCAACAGCCTCAGGAACTTCACCTCCCGCTTCTAAGACCAGGCTGCCTGAGCGGGATCAGCTTGCAGGTGAGGCTTGCCCCTCCTCCCTGGTCGGGGGTGGGGGATCCCAGAGCCCTGCCGTCTTAGGCTGCAGGGCCAGGCCTGAGCTCCCCAGGGACCCAGATGCAGTCCTTGGCCTGGCTGACAAAGGGGGCAGCTGTGTGGGTCGCATGGCAAGGGCGCTGCGTCTGTCCTGGTCCAGACGTTGGGGGCACGCAATGTTCTTGCGTCAGTGGGCCGAGGTCCCGGCAGAGCGGTGGGTGTAGCGGGCAGCTTGCACGCGCCCCTCCCCCCGCCCCCGCGCAGGGGTGCCATCCCCAGGGTCTGCGTTGTGAGGGCCTGCAGATGCCACACATCACTTCGGGATGGAGCAGCCGCTGCTCAGACCTCGACGCTTCTACAGTCCACCCCTAGCCTCTGCACATCGCCAGGGTGGACAGAAACTCTGAGCCAGTGTCCGTGATAGGCGTGCAGCCCTAGCACACCCAGGATGGCTGCTTGAACACACGCCCTGGCCCATCCCCAGGCACACTGCCTCATAGCTCTGGAGTGGATGGGCACTTGTAGGCAAACAGGCAAAGTGCTGCTGACACAGGGCCACACTTAGACACTCCAACAGACACCAGGAGGTCACCAGAGGCGGCCCTGATGTGGAGCCTCTGTGGAGAGCCAGGGCTGAGGACAGGGGCTCCAGAGCAGAGCCCCCCAAGCTGCCAACCCCCAAGTGCCAAGGAGGGTCCTGGTGGGGAGACAGCTGCGGTGGTAGAGCAGCAGCCTGAGGGTGGAGGAGAGGGAACGAGATCCGCAGATCTCAAATGAGCAGCCGGGGTGCCTGGTGGGGCGCTGGCACCCTGGGGGGTGTGCAGGGGGGCATGGCAGGAGGACGGGGCTGACACGCTTCTGACTCTACAGCAGCCCCAGTGAGTGTGTCGCGCTCCTGTGCGCGTGCGTCAGTGCGGTAGCGGTGGGCCTCGGTTTTCCCAGGACACGGGCGAGGGAGCCAGCTGCCGCCCTCACTCACAGAAAGGTCTTGCTTTTGCAGAAACGACACGACCCTGAGGAGGGGCCCTCAGGCCTGGCTGGAGGGTGGTTCTGGCCACCTGTGCAGTATTTGGAAAAGTCAAAGCAACAAGAACAAACCTGGAAACTGCAGATGATGGAAATATTTTTAGATTCTTTTTTTTTTTTTCCTTGGGGGAACTGGCAAGCAGTGGGGGTTGGGGCGGGTGGGGACTGTTGTTAAGCGGGCTTTTTCTGATGTCAATACTTCCTTTGCTCAGAGATGATATATACATACATATGGTATCGTGTACCTTTGTCAGCACCCGTGGGTGTGCATCAGTGCCCACGGGCATGGTCATGGACTGCTGCAGATTGCAGGTCAGATGTGGGAAAAGTGGCTCATGTTTGTTGTTCTTAGTCAAGTGTGCGTGTGCGGTTAAAGTGTCTCATGTTTGTTGTTCTTAGTCAAGTGCACGTGCTTTGTGCGCTTGGCCACTGGGTCCCACAGGGGGACCGCCTGCCAGGGTTGAAACTCCCCCCTTCACAAGCGACCTTGCAGGGTGGGACGCTGGCTGGTGTGTGGAGGTCCGTGGGTCCCCTGGGAAAGACTGGTTGTCTGACAATGCCACCGTCCTGCAGTGCCCCAGGCCTGGGCTGGACAGGGTTCAGGGCCCCAGGAGACAGGCCAGGACAGCCACGCCTGTTCTGCTCCATGAGGCCACTCCCGGGGGAGCGGGCTGGGTGCCTCAGGGCAGACTCAGCCTGTAAGTGTCACGATTCTCCGGAGGGCTGGTCACCCACCTGTTGCAGGAGAAAGGAGGCAAAAATGGTGCTCAGAGCCAAAGAGCTGTCCAGGGAGTGGCCTGTGGGGCTGGAACAGGCTGGGGCTGAACAGGGGCCATTTGGGGACTCACGGGAGGACATGTCCCACCACACTTGGGTACCTGGGAGACTCAAGTGAAGCAGGGCTTGGGGCTCAGGACCCTCGGGGGAAGGGAAGGACAGCCCAGCAAAGGGTCTGTCCTGTCAGGCTCCCGACAAGCCCACGCCCCCACCAGAGACCCCCACCTACCCCTGAGCCCCAGCGAGGCCCGAGGCCCGTGCAGGCCACCAGCTGCCCCTGAGAGCCTGGCCTCCTCCCGTGCATTTCAGGTGGGAAGTGGTAGGACGCCTCCCTCCCCCCTCCCCGCTCCCCCCCCCCCCCGGGAAAAGCTTGTTGTAAATAGGCCTCAGTGTGACAGTAGATAGAGCAGGGGGGCCGCAGGTTCCTGTCCCAGCCTCCAGGCGTCAGTTAGGGACTCACCGCCTGGCCCGTGTCCTCCTCTAGCAGAGCGTGAGGGGCCCCTCGCTCCCCCGTCCCCACCCCCTCGGCACCATCCCAGTCCAACCCGCAAGCAGGACGGAAATCGCCTTTCTGGGCTGAGGCCAGGCCTTATCAGAGACGTGACACCTGGGACGGACCGGGGAGGACGGCCGTGTGACCAGGTGTCCTTGGTGCTGCTCGTCTGACGGGAGGCCCTGGCTCACCCCCGTCCCGGGGCCCACGTGTGAGCCTGGTCCCCGGAGGGCGTCCCGGAAGGGGGTTTGGGGATGACACCCTGCTTGTCACTAAGGCCCAGAGGAATTCCTTTCTTTAAAAATCAGGACACATGTGGTCAGAACAGGCGACACCCTTGTCCTCGTGGGCGGGCGCCGTCCTAGAGGAAAGAGGAGATGGGAGTCCTGCCGTGAGGGGTCCTCGGGGTGACAGGATTGTCCCATCCAGCCAAAGGTGGCCCATGAGGCCCGGCCTGATTTTGGTGGCTTCCCTCACACCCCCTCAGGCCAGCTGGCGGGCCCGGTCACGTTGGGAGAGGCAAGGCTGAGAAGGGGCAGAGGGAGGACGCAGAGCAGCTAGGGTGTCCCCGTCCCTGCCCCGACCGCTGGGCCTCCTGGGCTTAAGGCACACCTCGTCGACGGCCAGCAGCCCTGACCGGCGGGGACCGGACAAGCGGTGCTGCCGCGCAGCAGCAGGGACGGCTCCCGCCCTCACCTCGGAGCCTGGCGGGGGCGGGCCGCCAGGTGGGCGGTCAGGCAGCGGGAAGGCGGGGCCGTGCGCGAGGTGTCCGGCGCCCCTCGTCCCCCACGCCCAAGTCTGTGTCCCAGGCCAGGCCCCGTTCGCCTACGAGATACGCTGTACATTTGCTTTTTCGGAAATAGAGGAAATCAATAAATTGCTGGCGTTTCTGTGAACCTTTGAAGCACTGGATTATTTGGGGCGCTGTGGAAGGAGGGCAGGCTGCTGGCTTCCTTCCAGGGTCCCCTCTTACCGACCCCAAACTGTGTGAGGATTGAGAGCGCCACCCGCAGGGACAGGGATGCCACCAGCCCGACACCTGCTCTGTCTCGGGGTCCGCAGGCGCGCTGGGTCCTTGCGGACGTGCGGGTGGAGGCTACCTGGAATCTCCCTCAGCGCTGCCACAGAGCGGGCGCGGCCCTTCCCGTTTCCCGAGGTGCAGGGGTGGAAAAGGGGGGCGGGGGGCAGCTCAGGGTCTCGGCTGAAAAGCCAGGGCCCTGTGTTTGCTTCTGCTGCTGCCCCCCCCCGGGGAAACTGAGGCAACAGGAGGAGGGGCTTTGGAGCGTCTTCCCGGCGCCTCCCGGCCCCCTCACTCCGCCCCGCCCGTCCTTGCCCGGGACTCTGGGAGTTTAAAACCTGCCGGAGCCAGAGCTGCTCCGCTGGCTGCTTCGGTTTGTTTGCTTTTGAGAAACAAAAGACAGACAAAGGCTAAGGCAGTCCCCACCCACCCAGCCGCCCAAGCAAGAAACTCATCGTCAACGCGTCCTTTCCCATCCTGGCACCAAGTCTGACCACTCCATCATGTCACCTCGTCTCCACGCCCACTGCCACCGTCCTAACCAGGGCCACCGCCCGGGCCTTCCCAGACACGACGACGCGGATTGTGTCCTTTCTTGCCTAAAAACAGCGGCGGAGGCCGTGCACCCTCTCCCTCCGGCTCCTCTTCTCCCGCCGCTCGCTCACGCCCTGCCCTGCCCCCCAGCGGGACAGGTCCCGGCCACAGCGCGCCCATGATCCCACCATCCTGCCCAGCACGGCCCCGCCTGTCCCCCCCCCCCCGGCCCGCTCGCTGGAGCTCCCGCCATGGGACTGGGGAGCTCACGCCCCTGCGGAGGCCCCGGCCGGGCCCGGACTTGCGAGCGTGTCCATCTCTCTGCCTGTGCAAAGTGGCGTTCCCACGGACCGCACTGTGTCGCGAGAACCCGAGAGTCCCACGTAGGGCTGGCCTGAGCGCCTCCCAGGCCTCGCTCCAGCCAAGGAGCCTGAAGGCCCATCGTCACCACCGCCTCCCAGGTGGCCGAGCAGCCGCCCGAGCCTCCGGGAAAGTCAGCGGAAGCTGTCCTGCCCTAGACACGGCTCCCGCGGTTTCCCCTCGCTGGCCCTGGGCCGCAGCCACCGGGGCCTCGGAGGACAGGCCCAGGCCCCTTCCCCACGACCACCCTCCCACAGCCACCCTGGCTCTGCGGTCCCGCCGCCCACCTAACCTCAGCGTCAGCCCGCCGTCAGGGGCCGGCGGCCGCCCTGCGCTCTCCAGGCGGGCAAGGCGTGGAGCCATCCCGCAGAAGCTGGGCCAGGCGCAGGGGGTTGCAAGAGGCCCCCTCTCCCTGCCACATGGGTGGGGCTGCCCCTTCTCCTACAGCGGCCATCGGGCCTGGGGCAGCCTCCTCCCTGACCCGGGACTCATCCCCAGGACTATAGCGCTGGAAACCCGGCATTACAGCAGGCGAGGGCAACCGGCCGCAGACCCTGGTTCAGGGGACAGGGCAGCCGCTGCTTGGCCACCACCCAGAAGCGACAGGAGAGGGGCTCCACCAGGCCCCCGCCTGCAGCAGCGGCTCAGCTCCCTGCCTCCGGAGGAACCCTGGCACGGGGCAGAGGGCAGGGGGCAGGGGCAGGGGTGGTTCCAAATAAAGGTTCCTAACAGCCCCCTCCGTTCTCCCCTCCCGTCTCAGCTGTAAGGCCCCACACTAGTGCCCTGCACACCCCACCTCGTGTTCAGTCCCCAGACGGACAAGCCTTGGGGAGGGGCGGGGGCGGGGCGGGCGCCTCCCAGGGCCACCGCAGTGGAGGCCGTGGCCCCGGCGCCTGTCGACAGCCGCTGCTGCCCCCCGGAGGCTGACGCGCTATGACGCGCCACCTGGAACTGAGCAGCAGAGGAGCGCCCGATGGGTGCTGAGTGTAGCGGACGTCTGAGGCCACAGACGACGAGCCAGAGGCCGGCGCTGTGCTGATGTCACACAGGAATGTCAACCGTGTCCCTGCTCTGCCGGGCTCTGCCGACTCCGAGGTGGCTGTTTTACGCTGTTTCCCTCCCTGTGAACACCTGTTGTTGCGACGACCGAATCCCGCCCGAGGTCCCTAAACAAAGATGCCTTCTCCTCCGTGCCTTCAGCACATGTGCAGGGGCCAGGGCTGTGGAGGAGCAGGCAGGCGCCCCGCCCCCTGAAGCACCCCATCTGCACGGGGCGGAGGGAGGACGCGGCTCACCCCGGTTAGCGGTCGTGTTACCCGGGAAGACCAGCAGCAGCGCCAGACGCCCCGCTGGGCGGCCCACCCGCGTGACTGCGTTTGCTGTAGACGGATGTGAACGCTCACACGCTTTGCACTGTAGAGGCAGAAGCTATTCTACTATTGGTTGGCTAAAGCGCAGTCGCAATGTCTGTAACATGGGCTTGTGCTTGTCTCTATCAGCCACCGGTGGAACTGGGTAGAGAGTGGGCCGTGCAAATAAAAAAATAAAACGTAAGCAGAACAGGCAGAACCCTGCACCGTGACCCCGGAGGTCGCCACGCGTCCCTGGGCCTCAGTTTCCCCAGGTGGAAAATGGGGTCCTTGGTGTAGGCCCTGACTGTGCAGTTACTGCAGGTTGTGCGTGTGAAGTGCTCGACGCTGCACCTGGCACCCAGCAGGCCCTCGTCAGGGGCAGATATGGGGTCAGAGGGGATCCCCGTGTCAAGTTTGGAGGGAAAAACTGCTTGTCCTTTACCCTCGGCGGCAATGAAGTGGCGGCACGCATCCTGGCGGCCGTCTCCTCTGGGGAATTGGTGGGTGGGGACAGGAGAGGGGCGCGGCCCCTTGTGCTCAGCAGGTGCCCGACCCCACCCCACCCCGCACGCCGTCAGCACTGCGTCAGCACCGGCTCAGCCCCGGGGGCGCCTGGGAACCGAACCGCCTCCCGGCCGCCTCCCTCCCTGAAGAGCGGCCGGCCCCACCGCCTCCCTCGGCTTGGCGCTGCCCGGGCCTGATTTTCCGGGAGCCTGCGTGGGGGCTGGGGTGTGTGGAGGGTGCGGCTGCTGTGGCCTGAGACCGGGGCTGTGGGCGGGGCACCCCGCGGCCTGGGCGCTGCACACCCGTGTGTGTGAAGGCAGCGTTCTCAGAGCCGCCACGGACCTGAGCTTTCCTCCCGGTGGCTGCTGGGGAGAGGGGGGCTGAGAGCTGGGAGGAGCCAGTGAGCAGGACCAGGAGAGGCGGGCGGGCTGGGCACCCAGACCTGGTTCCTGTGAGTCACGAGCTCTGGGAAAATGGGCCTTCAGTGCGGGTCCTCCAGGCGGCGCGAGGGGCATGGCCTGCGGAAGCCAGAGACTTCTCAGAAAACCAGGGACGTGAGCAGGCCCTCAGGGGTGGGCCAGGTGTGCCAAGCAGAGAGGCGGGGGCGGGGGGCGTCCTGGGGGCGGGGACAGCAGGGACAGGCTCCCGCCTGGCCTGCCCCGCCCTCTGTCCACCCCCATCCCGGCCTGGGACACGGGAGAGCCTGGCCCCGGGCCTGTCCCTGAGAGAGGACCCACCCTTCCCAGAAACCAGTGCCAAGCCAGAGGCGGCGCCCACCGAGGAGGGGTTCTGCCCCTCCCTCCTGCCTGGGCACAGACTGGGGCAGATGCCGGGGCGGGGACGGACAACAGCAGCAGGTTCCTGACTTTCCCCTCCTCGCCCCTTGGCTTGGAGTGGACAGCCTCTCTTCCAGAGGCCGCGCGTCTCAGGGACTCAGGCCCCGGCATCCGGCAAGAGGAGCCGCCCCTGCCGGCCGGGACAGACCGGGGGCTCACCTCGGCTTCTCTCCCTCGGAAGGAGAAGCGACACAAATGCCGTGCGGTGTGCAGTGGCTTTTATTACGGGCACGGTGTGGACTCGTGGGGCAGCCGAGCGTGGCGGCGTCCAGCTGGGCCCGCCCTGGCACCCGAGCAGGAGCCGCCCCCCACCCCCGCCGGGGGCCCCGGAGCTGGGGGCATGCCGGGCGCAGGCGCAGCGAGGAGCAGGTCTGGGCTTTACTTCCAGCGCCCGGTGACCTTGGCCTTCCCGCGGGTCTTGGAGCTGCAGGGGAAGAGGACTCCATCAGAAGGGACCCGGGGCCGGGCAGAGGCCTCCCCAGGGTGGGGGCCGAGGGCAGAGAGCGGCAGGCGGCCTGCAGGGGGCAGAGGCTGGCCGGGGGCAGGGAGGCCCTGAAGGGGCCCCAGGGGCACACGAGGTCGGGAGGAGGCGGAGGCACATTCGGGTACTCACACTTTCTGGTTGTCATTGATTCTGTTTCGGAGAACATTGATCTGTAAGAGAAGTGAGCACGACAGAGTCACCGGGAGCTCCTGTGGCTCAGTCCCAGGTGGCCGGGGCCTGGACCTGGGCTGGGGGGCCAGGAGGACATCTCTGTCACCCTCGCGACGACCCGGTGAGGAGGCATGCGTGTTGCCTTGTCGAGGGGCCGAGCCAGAGACTCGGCGCAGACGGTGCGGCTCCCGAGTCCTCCCTGTCACCAGCGGAAGTGGGGCGGTGACGCTGTGCCCCAGGCCTGAGCTGCGCCAGGGGGCAGTGGGGCACACGCGGGGCCTGGGCTGGCTGGGCCGTGTCCTGGCCCGGTGTCTGCCCTCCGGGGACCCACAAGGCTGTGGGCTTGCGGCTCAGCCCAGCGCTGCCCCCGGCACAGTGACGTGAATGTCTCTGGTGAAGCTTCCTCCCCCCAGGAGGCCTAGCTCCCTGCATCCTTGTCCCCGACCTGGCTTAGGGCGTCTGGGCTGCTGCCCCCGGCCCTCAGGGCCAATCGCTGCCCAGCGAGCCGGGAGGGACACCCAGGCTGGAGCCCCAGGATGGTGCTCCCGGTCAGGCCCGGCGAAGCCGCAGCCCGGGGGTGACCGATCCCTGGGGAGACGAGGCACCTGGGCAGGTGCGCGTCTCGGATGGGCGGTGGGTCAGGGGACAGGCGCGACTCTGCCGCTCGGCGGGACCCACCCGGTCTGAGGAGCGCGCGGGGGGCGGGGCTGCGGGCCGGCTCACCTCGTACTTCTGCTGCTTGAACTTCTCCTGCAGGTCGAACTTCTCAGCCTCCAGGTTGTAGACGGTCTGCCACAGCTCCTTGGCCTTCTCCCTGCGGGGCAGCAGTCGGGGATGGGGGAGGGGAGGGGCGCCGAGGACGACCAGGACGCGCGCTCCTCTGCCTTCCTCCTCATCCTCACCCAGCCCCAGGGGCTCAGGCCGCCGGCCCGCCTGCCCACTTGCCCGCCGGCGCAGCGCGGGGCCCAGAGGGCAGGCTCCCGGGATGGAGACCCGTGCGGGGGGGCAAGGGCAGCCTGGCCCAGTGAGATGCTGCTCAGACCCAGAGCCGGGCAGGGGGCACCGGGGCCCCTGCGGACTCCAGCCCCGCCCGTCGCGCCCTGGGAGGATGCGTGGGGCGCCGGCGCCCCCTGGTGGTCGCGGCGAGAGCGCGCCCTCCCGGCGCCTTCCCAGGGCGCCCGCTCGCGCTCGCGCCCGCGCGGCGGGCCACACCTGAGCTGGTCTTCATTCAGGTGGTCGATGGCCAGCACCTTCCTCCTCTCGGCCAGAATCTTCTTCTTCTTCTCCCTCTCCGTCTGCCTCTTCCCACTTCTCCGCTCCGTCTGGCAAGCGGGGGGCGGGGCATTAGCTAGAGGACTTCCCCTCCTGTTCCCCAGCCCCGAAAACCCACTGGGGAGTGGGCATGGCTGTGGAGGGGCCACGTGCTCACCCTCTTCCCACAACGGCCACCCCATCCCTGCCCGGACCCCGGAGAAACTGAGGCACGGCCAAGGAGGGGCATTGGGGCCGACTGCCTCGGCCTCACCGGGATCTGTCCCCTCCCCGCCACCCCCTCACTGCGCGGGTCCCCCGTCCAGGGAGCCCCCAACACCAAGAGGAGGCTTGGTACCCACCTGTGCCTGCTAAACCACGAGAGAAAGACCCCGAGAGAAAGGCGAAGAAGACGACAGAGACAGAGAGAGCGCAGGCCCGAGGGGGAGAGACGGGGGGAAGAGAAGGCTCAGACATAGCCGGGGCGACCCCGGACGCTGGGACCCCAGGACGTGAGGCTGGGCCAGGCCGGGCCAGGGCCTGACGGCTGGCCCGGCTCTGAGCTGGGGCCTTGGGAAAGCCATGAGTACCAGCCCCCCCCCCCAAGCCATGAGAGCATGTGTCCCGCAGGCTGGGTGTGGAAGTCAGGCACGGAGAGCGCGCTCCCAGGGCGAAGCCACGTCCCCAGTGCTTCCCGTGTGGGCGTGTGGGCTCGCTGGGCCTCAGAGCGGCAGGCGGGCAGATGCTGCCGATCCCGCTTCTCAAACGAGGAGACGGAGGCCCCCACGTGGCTGTCCCCAGCCATGGTCCCCTCACACCGGGGCCCTGAGCCCAGCCTCGGGGCGTCTGGGAGCGCAGGGGTGTCCAGGCCCCACCTGCAGCCTTCACCGCGGCAGCCCCCGTCCCCACTGCTCCGCCGCCGACCCCCTGAAGCCACAGTCAGGCCGAGCGCCGAGGGGCGCGGGCAGGAGTGCGGAGGCTGGGCGGCTCCCCCTGGACCCCCGGTCCCTCAGGACCCCGCCCCAGGACCACCCCGGCCGGCCCACCTTCTGGATGTAGCCTCCGAAGTGCATCATGTTGGAAAGGGCCTTCTTCTTGCGGGCCTCGTCCTCCGCCCGCCTCCGGCTCTCCTCCTCCTCCCGCCGGGCGCGCTCCTCCTGGTGGCAGGGGCGGCAGCCGGTCAGGCCGGGGCCGGGCCTGGGTTTGGGGCCTTTCTGACGGGCGATGGACTGTGCTTTCTCTCCCCCGGGGCTGGGAGCTTCTCCCCTCAGGGCTGTGAGCCCTTCGCTTGTTGGGCGAGGGAGCGAATGAACGAACGAGGCCGTGAGCCCTGAGCCAGGGCCCCCGGCCTCGCTCGAGACGCGACCGCAGGGCCGAGCTCCTCCAGGCTGGGCGTTCCTGCCTCGGCAGAGCCCACACGTGCCCAGCGGTCACGAGCTGCTCATTGTCTCTCGGCTGAATCCGTGTCTGAATAGAAAGGGGCTGGGCCCAGGAGCTGGAGCGTGGGGGTGCCCGGGGCGGCGCCTGCTCACCGCCAGCCGGGCCTGCCGCTCCTTCTCCCGCTCGCTCCGGATGCGCTGCTGCTCGGCCCGCTCCGCCCGCCGCTTCTCCTGCAGAGACAGGCCGAGCCCCCACAGTGCGTGACCTGGAGCATCCTGCTTAGACAAGCCAGGCCACACCCGACGCCCACAGGCAACCCCGCCGGGCGTCGGTCACTGTGGGCTGGGCCTCAGTGATTTGAGCGAGACCCCTGGCCCACCCCCCGGCCTCTGCACCTGGACCTCGGCCCTGCGCTCGGACAGACGGCCACGTCCCCAGCTGCCGGCCACAGAGAAAAAATAACCAAACTACCTCCCCGCTCCCCAGCCTGCCGAGGTGGGATTCCAGACTCACTGCGCCTTCCCTTCACAGGGGGCGAGCTGTGCCCAGAGGCGGGAGGCAGGGCGGGACAAGAGGCGCTGGCCCGTGTGGGGCCTGGCTGCCCTCAGCTCCCGCCCTCGCGAGCGGCCAGGCTGCTGGGGGCGGGCGGGCGGGCGGGGCTCCTGATGGAGCGTCCACGCCAGCAGGGTGCGGGGCTTCGGGGAGGCTGCCTGGAGGAGGGGAGGCCGACGGACGGGGTGGGGGACAGAGGGGGCCTCGGGAGCCCTGGGGGGGAGGCAGCGGGACACCTACAATCCGGTCTTTGAGCGAGATGAGCTCCTCCTCCTCCTTCTTGCGGTTCTCGAAGTGCGCCTCGATCAGCGTCTGCAGCTCGTTCAGGTCCTTCTCCATGCGCTTCCGGTGGATGTCCTGCGGGGGCGCAGGGCTCCAGGGCGGGGCAGCAGGCCGCGCCCCTCCTCCTGGCCTGGGGCCTGGCCCTGCTGGACACCCTGCCCTGCCCCCTTCCCCAGCCCACGCAAGGTCCCCCTTTCCCACCAGGGGCCCTGGCGCCCCCCCGGCCCAGGCCTGCCCTCCCCGCAGCCCCCGCTCACATCGAAGTCCACTCTCTCTCCATCGGGGATCTTGGGCGGCACCAGGTTGGGCATGAACGGCCTGTGGGAGAGGAGGAGGAGCCATGAGCACCCCCGGGCGGAGGGGCCGCGGGGCTGCGCCCGTGGAGCGCGGCCGCCTCCACGTCACCACAGGAGCCCCCACACCCGGGACGCCCACGGCGTCTCCTGTCGTTTCCTTCTGTCCTCACACGGTCGCCATGAAATCTCTCGCGAGTGCCCTCAGACCCTGGGAGGGAGTGGCTTGCTCAGAACCACGCCACCGGGACGTGGGGAAGCTGTGGCCGGGGGACGGGCTTGTCTGACTGCGGGGCCCTGTGGCTGGCCCCCCAGAACCCCCCAGGAGCCCCGGGGGCCTGCGGCGTGGCGCTGACCCAACGCCCCCGTGCAGGGACGCCGGCCCGGGGCCTGTCTCCCCACCTGCCCACGAGTCTGCGCGGGGCCGCTGCGTGCACACAGGACGGCACTGGGCACATGACGGGCCGGGGCATCCAGCCGGGCTGGGGCCGGTCCCAGTCTGTCCCCTGAACCTGGCCGTGTGACCCCGGGAGTGTGCCGGCCGCACCCCGCCCCCGGACCGGGCCGCCTGCCCTCCACGGCCCTCCGCGGCCAGGGCCTCCCTGCAGGCGCCTGCTCACCTGGGCTTGGGTTTGGACTCCTCCACGGGGCCATCTGGAGGGAGAGAGGCAGGCGGCCACGGGGTCATGGGCCCCGGATCGGGTCCCCGCTCTGTCCCGGCGAGCGGGGTCCCGCGGGCTTCTGGGTCCCCGGAGGCGCGGGGGCCCCGCCCCCCACTAGGGCCCCTGGCTCCAGGGGCACCCGTGGGAATTACGGCCCTGGAATTGGCAAACTCTACACATCCCCCCAGAGGGGCTCCCAGGGCCCGGGGTCCCTGGCTCCTTGGGGACAGGATTCCACGCCCGCTGGCTGCACCCCCCCCCGTCCCGGAGGCGTGACAAGGACCACAGCCGAGACCCACCACCTGGACTGGCTGTGCCTTGGGGGTTTACCCTACAGACCTCGCACCCTGCGAGTGGTTCTGCCTGAGCCCCAAGAACCTCACATGTGGACACGGCTCCTGGGGGCCCTACCCCGCGTGGGGAGCCGCACATGGGCCCCCCCACCGCAGGGCACCACCAAGGCAGCTCCGTCCCTGGAATGAGGAGGGCACAGCCCCCCAGACCCGCACCGGCACCAAGCCTGCCTTCCCCCCGTGAAACCCTCCCCCCACCACGCGCCGTCTCCCCAAAAGCCGCGGGAAGGGGTGCCCCGCCGCCCCGACCTCTCTCTGCGCCAGTAGGGCTCACCTTCGGCCTCCTTAACTTCCTCTTCTTGTCTGTCTTCTAAACAGAACGCGAGGAGTTAACGAAGCCCCAGGTGCTCAGCTCAGGTCCCTCTGCCGAGAGCCCCCATTGACAGGGCGGTACCCACGTGCGCCCTGCTGAGTTCTGGGGTCACGGAGCTTTCTGTTCACACACACAGGCACACACACACACACCCATGCACACACGTGAGCCCACATACGTGGTGTGTACACACACACACCCCCTGGGCCCGGACTCGCCCAGCACAGAAGGAGCTCAAGGTCAGGGTTCCTGGATAGACAGTGGACCGCCGAGTCCCAGCCCAGCCCAGGTGGGGAAGCAGGTCTGTGGACGCCTTCCTGCCAGAGGGCGGGCCAGCAGCCCCTCCCCCGGGGCCGCACCGTCTGCCTGGGTCTCCTCAGGCTCCGCCTCGCCTTCGGCCTCCCCTTCGGCCTCCCCTTCCGCTGCCTCCTCTTCCTCTGCCTCCTCCTGCTCTGGGTGAGCAACAGACAAGGTGAACCCCCAGGCCCGCCTGCGCCTCGCGCAGCTCCTGGGGCGGCGGGGCGGGGGATGCGGGGGCGGGAGGCTGCAGTCGGGGGCTCGGACTCCTTACCTTCCCCGACCTCTTCTGCTCGGGGAGGCCGCAGCCGCGGGAAAGGAGACAAGAGGTGGGTCGGTGTCAGAGCAGGCGGCCCCGTCCCGAGGCGCGCCTGGGCGTGTGCTTACCTTCCTGCTCCCTGCAGGGCACAGGGAGACGCTGTTGGGGCCGCGTGCACGCGCACACGCACACGCTCATGCCCGCGCTGCCTGGCCCCGTGGCTGACCCCGGCCCTAGGCCCTGGCTGCTGACCGCGCGCCCCCACGGAGCCCCGGGCTGGGGGCCTGGAGGCGCGATCAGCCCCGCGACCCTGGAAGAGTCGCTGCTGCATCTCTGGGTCCGCGTTCGGGAGGCCCAGCCTCTGGGCTCCCCTGCTGCGACCCGTCCCCCAGCGAGTGCTGGGAGGGGCCGCCTTTACCTCCCAAGTGGCCCAGCCCGCGGTCGGCCTGCGGGCAGCGGCCAGGAGGCACAGGGCGGAAATGAAGGGGGCTGTCTCTCCTTGGTTCCCCAAAACAGGCAGAGCCACCCCCCGACCCCCGCTGCCCCCAGGGAGGCTCCAGGGGCAGGTGGGAAGGCACAGGAGTCTCCCACACTCACCCCTCGTACTCCTCCGCCGCCTCTTCCGTGTCAGACATGCTCTCTGCTCCCCCCAGGAAGAGAAAGGCGTCAGGGAGGGCGGAGGGGTCGCGGCCTCCTCAGCTCAGCCCCGCTGTCAGGCCAGACGGTGGGGCTAAGTAGCAGGGAGGCCGTAACAATGTCTGTATCCCACCTGCCACTCGTAACATATCGGGCAAATGTTGCCACGGGGGGAATCGGGCAAAGTGCACCAAGGAGCTGCGCCCTTTGTTACAAATGCTCCCGCGGCCCCCCTGGTGGGGTGAGGCGCCTGTGGCCCACGAGCCCTGCCTGCTGCCCGGGCCCCGGGGAGCCGCCCGAGTTGGTGGCTGAGAACCGGGGAAGCCGCTCCCGGTTCCTGGGGCTTCTCCGTCCTCTCCTGCCCTGGCCCCGCCAGCTCAGAACCGCTGGCCCTGGGATGCAGCCCATGGGGGGGCCGCACGGAGCTCTCTCCTGGCTCCTGGGAGCACCTCCCTGCTCCCCCACACAGCCCGCCAGCCCCCGGGGTGGGGAGGGCGCTCAGACGAGGAGGCTGCCAGGCTAGCTGCCGAGGGCCGGACGGATGGAGGGGCAGGGGCAGGCTGAGCTGGGGGACAGTTGAGGACCTGGTGGAGCGGGGTGACGGTGTCCTAAAGCAACCCCACCTCTCACCCACGCCCCACCCCGCGCCCGCCTCCGCAGAGGTTGGGGCCACTTTCTGGGGGACTGCAGCAAACACAAGGGGCAGCGGAAAGTATAGTGGCCACGGAGCCCAAACTCGGGGCTTAAGAAAACCTAGTTGCTGCTGTGGGGCCTTAGTCCAGTTCCTTCACCTCTCTGGGCCTCCGCTGACCTCCCTGTGAAAGAGGCGAGATTCAGGTCCTAGCCTGGCAGGAAGCCTGAGGTTCTGAGGGACATTGTCCCCGGCACCCAGCAGGGACGGACCAAGGCTAGGGCTGCAGGCCCTCCGGGGGAGCCAGGGGCGGCTGGGGGCAGAAGGGAGGGGCGACTCGATCCTCACAGATGCCTCTTCTTCCCCGCCCCCCGCCCCCACCCTGGGAGGACGGGAGGACGTGCCCTAGAAGATCTGGGTCAGAGGAAGAACTTGGGACGTCAGGGGCCTGGAATGTGCTGGAAATTCCTGACACCCCAGGCAGCCCTTTCCCCCAATATTCTCTCCACCTGCACAGGAGAAGCCGAAAAACCAAGGGGGTATCTCTCTGGGGGCGTGCGGGGGGGGGAGCCGGACTCGGGGACCCTGTACTCCAGCGAGCTGGGCTCACACTCCCTGAACGGACCTCCCCTCCCTGGCCAGGGGAGGGCGCTGGGTGTGGGGTGCAGGCGAACTCCGCCCGCTGCTGGGAGGGGCTCGGTCTGCGTCCCTGATGCCCCCCTCTCTCAGCCCTCTGGGCATCAAGAAGGGCCTGCCGGACAGCCGCGGGGGCGTCAGCCTGGAGGGAGACGGTCCGGGCGGCCCTGGTGTCAGAGCGTCGCGGTATTCAGGGCAGGCAGGGATCTCGTCCGCCCCGCGGACGAGGAGGCTGAGGCTCCCCATCCGAAAGGCTGCGGGGCAGGCCTGGACGCCCCCACGGGCCCCTGGCGTCTTGGAGCCCGACCCCCGCACCTCCGCGTCCTCAGCGTGGCCTCCTGGAGGCAGGCCCTCGTCCCTCTGCTCCCCGCTCCAGCGTCTCCCGGAGCCTCACCTACGACAGGAGCCGCCGGCAGCCGGGATGCCGCTCTCTCGGGGCAGGAACTGGCCAGGGCCGGGGTGGGGTGGGCTTTAAGCAGCACCGGGCGGGGGCGGGTGAGCCCGCCTTGCAGAGGGAGGAATGTGCGGGGCGTGGGGGCTGGGGAGCGGGGGGCGTCGGCCGCTATGTCGGCAGGTGCCGGAATCGGGGCTGACAGGGCATGTACTCCTCACCATATAAGCCCATGTGGTGGTCCAGCTGCCCAGATAAGCTATTTAAAACCAGACCAGATATGCAGGGGACGCGGCGGGGCGGTGGGGGGGGCAGCTGGCGTGTAACAGAAGCCAGCTGTCCCTCTTGACAATCCTGATAGAGCAGGTGCCACGGCCCAGGCCTGGGAGGGAGCCTGGGGGTGGGGCTTGGGGCAGGAGGCAACCCCGAAACACTCCTGAGTGCCCGGTGGGCAGAGATGCCCCCCAGGCCACACCGGCTGCCTCTCATGGGCTGAGTGGCCTTCTCAGGAAGCGGGTCTACCGGCCTCCCGAGGACGTCTGCAAAGCGGGGCTCCTCCATGACCCTAGAGCCACCCGGCCCGTCCGGGTTCCAGGAAAAGGGCTGGCTGGACCCCAGGAGGTCAGGCAGAAGGTGGAACTAAGTAGCCGGAGGGGCGGTCCCGCTCGATGGCGGCCGGCTGCGTGGGGTCCTCGGGCTCGTCCTCCAGGGCTTTCAAACGAAGCCGCGACCCGCGGCCCCTGCTCTTCCTTGAGGCCCCCACGGCCGGGGCCCGGGGCCTCTGCCGTCTGCTGGCTGGTGTGTGCGTGGCCCCAGCCCAGCGCCCGGGACCTTTGAGGACTCGTGTGTGACCAGCGCGAGCGAGCGGAGGAAACCGAGTCTGGGGCGGCTGACCCCTCCCTCCGCCTGCCCACGCAGTGTCCCAGGCCCCCGTGCGCACTCGGAGGGAGGGTGGCTCGCGCTTGGACCGGGCTTCTCCTCCCAGTGTCCCGGCCCCAGGCCCTGGGCCCTCCAGGCTTGCCCGCCCGTGACTCGCTCTTTTCTGTGGGCAGAGCAAGCCCCTCCCGGCCTCTGCCCTCTGCGCCCCCAGCCTGACCACGCGTCCAGCCTCCCAGCCCCGCTGCCTCGGGGACCGCGTGCTGGGGCTGCCGAGGGCACCCTCGAGAGGCCGCCCCGGGCCGGACGGCCGCTTCCTTCTTGCGCGTTCTGCTCTCAGACTCCTGCCTGTCACTGAGCTGAAACTGTCCCCTCCCTGGTCCCCAGGAACATCGGAGCCCAGTGGCCTGATTCCACCCCACCCCACCGCACCCAGGCTTCTCCCCTGCCGCGTGGCCCCCCCGCCCCGCCTGCAGGACAAGCTCGGGCCCTGTGCCTACCAGCCAGCACCCCGGGGGGCGGGCCTAGAGACAGGCGCTGGGGACAGAGCCCCAGAGGCACGGTGACAACCAGGCTCAGCCATGTGACCCCCCCCCCAGGGCCCAGCCTTGCTTTGTGCCCAGCCTGGCATCTCCCGGAACCTAGGAGCTGTGTTTGTTTCAGAGACCCCCCCACCTTTGATTGGAGCTGCTTCCATGGGCTGTGGTTTCTCACAAGCCCAACAACACTCCAAACACACCCCAGCCTGTCTGCAGGGCCCCGCGGAGGCCCGCGCGTTCTTGCGTGAGTGTGGGAGGCTTTTCCCGATGGTTCGGAGGCAGGGACGGAATTCGGAGAGCGGGGAGGCAGCCCCTCAGCCGGTGTGGCCATCCAGCAGCCTCCAGCCGCCGCACGGGGACCCATGGGGTTGCTCCCAACCTTCCTCAGTGCCCCGTCCCTGCAAATGGGCGTAACGCCGCCAGCGCGGAGAGGACGGAGCGGTGGTGCCCATCAGGGACTGTGCTGGGAGAAACACAGGCTGGCATGTGCTGCAGACTTGAGGGCCCACAGAGAGGACGGTGCCTGGCGGGGTCCTAGGCCACGGGGGCAGGAAGGCGGACCCCGGGGCAGCCTCCGAGGGCCTCGTCTAGGAGCAGTTGATGTGAAGATGGTGTGCCTGCTGGACAGTCTCACGGCCGGGGGCTTTCCAAAGTTTACGACATGAGCGTTCAGACCCCCGAGGCCCCCTGTTTGAACCCGGAGTCTCTGAGCGGGGCCGCCCTCCCTCTCTGCGCCCTCACGTCTCTGCGCCCTCCCGTCTCTGCGCCCTGGCCAGCTCCCCAGGCTCTCCAGGCAGAGCCCGGTCATGGGCGGCCGGGGTGCTCAGGGCAGGCACGAGGCCAGCACAGGAGACCCGCCAGCTGGGCACGGGCCAGCCGGTCACACATGGGGCTCTGAGGGCCTCCTGTCCGCCGGACCACGGGACCCAAGACAGAAGCTGTCACCCTGAAGGGCCGTGTTCTGAGACGCCCTCGGCTTCCCAGGCATGCGGAGGCGGAGGCGGGGGCGGGGGGTTGGGGACGGGTCTGGGCACCCGTATATGCACATTTTTAAAATTAGGTTGTGAGGAGGTGGGACCGGGCACCGGACTGTCATAGTCTGGTTTGCCCTGGATTCTCAGATGGCCCAGCGTCTCCAGGTTCACAGAGGCCGTGGCACTGGGGGGCTGGGAAACGATCTCGGGAGGGTGCGTGTTGGAGGGGGGCTGGCCGCTCGGCCCCCCAGAATCACTATGTAGGGCCGCGGGATGCCACCCGCCTTCATGTGAGGAGAAGTGGGGGCTGCTGGGAAGAGGTCGGCTCGTCCCCGAGCCCAAACAATCCCCCCACGTCGCAGATGACCGCTGTCAAAAAGCAGAGCCTCCAGCGAAGAGCTGGTCGGAAGGTATTTTTAGTCACTTACACCTGAGAGTGAGCGGGTTTATCAGAGCTTCCTGAGAACAGCGAGGAGTGAGGGGCCACCGAAAGGCACTGGGGTCGGCCGGGCAGTGAGGGGCGGGCGAAGCGGGCGGGGGGCAGTGCGGCTGCCCCCCACCCCCGGGGTCGGGGCTCAGCCAGCGGGGGCCGGCCCTGGAGGACGGTGGGGGAGCCGGGCCTCCCCTGGGAGCACACCGGACAGGGGCCCCGGAGTCCTTGAGGGGCAGCGCGCCCCGCTCCCGGAACGGAGCAGACACAGGCGGCGTCCCCGGCCAGGGCGCCGCGGCCCCGGGGATGGGGATGGGGGCCCGTGCGGCGGCAGCGCTGCTGTGGGTCCCGGCTCCGGGGTACCTGCCTCGGGGGGCGCCAGGGCCCACCTGCCCTGAGGCTGGCCGGGAAGGAGCCACGGGCGTCTCCCGGACGGCCCAGGCCTCAGGCAGAGAGGGACCGGGTGGCAGGAGGCAGGGACGTGGCTGCAGGGGGCGGGCCCGGCCTGCGGGAGGGCCCTGGACGCGGCGAGCGGCCTGTCCTGGCGCAGCCTGTCATGCCTGTGAGACGAAGGTGCATTAGATCAAGGGAAGGGGGCCCCCAGGGCCGGGGCCGGAGGGGCCTCTGGACCGGAACACAGCCCTTTGTCCAAGCGCCACGCCCACACTGGGCCAGAGACCCCCGGCCGTGGGGTGGGAGGGGCTGGAGGCTGGAGGCTGGAGGCTGGAGGCTGGGGCACAGCAGCCTGAGAGCAGGACCAGGGCATTCTGGGTATGCGGGCTGGGCCACCGCAGGCCAGTTGGCGTGTGCGGGCGTGTGCAGGCGTGTGGGGCACCTCCCAGCCAGCCCCCTGCGCTCCCCTCACCTTGGCATCTGGGGAGGAGTCTGCTTCCCTCCCGCCCTGGGTCCTCTGGGCGTCTTCGGACTCGTTCTGCGCCTCCTGGGTGGGGGAGTCAGGTGGGGACCAGGGACTTAGGCAACTGCAGAGGGGCTGGGGACCCTCAGCACCCCCCTGAGGGGGGCTCCAGGCCCACCCTCCTCTCCTGCACGCCCCGCCGCCACCGCTGACCCACAGGCGTCCACACAGCCCTACCCGCTCCCACTCTCCCCCCAGCCCCGGCTCAGCCCGCACCCCCAGGGCCCCTCTGACCCGCCTCATCCCACCACGGAGCGTCCCTGGGGGGGCCGGGGGCCTCAGCGGGGACCGGGCACCTGGAGGTCCTCGTCTCTGGACTCCTGGGTCCGGCTGATCCACAGATTGAGCCTTGATGTCACAACCCCAGAGAGCTTCAGGTTCTCCTGAGGATGGAGGCTCCCATCAGGCTGTGGGGCCACCGGCACAGCCACAGAGACCCGAGGCCACCGCCCCGCCCCCCGGGCGCTGGGGCGACGCGGGCTCAGGACACGAGCGGTAACCCAGGTCCGCCGGCACGGGCTCCCGGAAGCTGGGCCAGGGCCGCGGCCCAGCGCCCGGGCCCCGCAGGCCTCCCGAGGCCGAGCCCCTCACCTTGCGGCCGCAGGCTGGCTCCGCGCGGCCCGGGCTGGCCCGCTCCTTCTCAAAGAGGTGGCGCTTGCTGGCGACCCCCACAGGAGCCACGAAGAACTCGGTGCGGGAGGAACCCAGAGACTTGATGGACTCCGATCTCTGGGGACAGAGAGCACCGAGGCTGACCCTGGGGCGGTGGCGGTGGCGGGCGGGGCGGGGGGGCAGACGCACCCATGCACCCACCCAGCACAGGAGCTGCCGCTCGGCCCACCTGGATGGCTGACTGGTATCTCTCCAGCTTCTCTCCCAGCTTGACCGGGAGCCTCACGCTGGCGCTGCAGCAAGAAGGACAGGGTGACGCAGAGCCGGGGAGCCCTCCTCCCAGGGAGACCCACGTGCCCCGCCCCCGTCACTGGGGGAGGCTTCCACGAGCTGTGCCCGGGAAAGCCTGCAGACCCAGGACGGCCCTCGCCGCCCTGGAAACAGCCCGCTCAGCAGGACCAGAGCTCTCTGCCACCCTCCCCGCGCCTGTCACTTCTACCCAAACACGTTCCCTGAATCTCCTCCCCATCTGCCCCACCATTGCGTGCCCCCCCCGCACCGCCCGCTGGCCACGCAAACTCTCTCCCCACACGAATCCCATCCTATGCTTCCGGCTCGAACCCTCAGGCCCCAGGACAGGGACCAAACTCCGCGCCCAGCCGACAAGCCTCCCGGGACCTGGTCCCCGCCTCCCCTCCCAACGCTGCGTCCCCTCCAACCCCCTTCTCCACGTGGTTGTGGGCCCCCAACCAGACGCAGCACGCTCTTCACACGCGGCCTTTCCACAGGCTGCTCCCTCCAGCGAAGACGCGCCGCCCACCTTCCACCTGGAAACCGGGAGTCCGGCGCGGACGCCGACTGCCCCGGAGCCGTCCTGCACCCCCAGGCCCGCTGGGCCGCTCTCGCAGGGTAATCGTGAGGCGAGCCTGCGCCTCACCGGTCCCTGTGCCACCCCCCACCCCCAGCCGGCCGAGGACGGCAGGCCTCAGCGACGGTCCAGGGCAGGCGGACCCGCCTGGGCGCCTGAAGTTCCTGCCGCGCACGCCAGCTGCTTTCCAAACCCAATTCCGGGTTGTTCTGTTTTTTTCAACACGCAGTCCTCACTTGGCTTCTGTCCACGTGGGTGCTGAACACGCAGGTTCCCAGGCCCCCTCCTGCCTTCACGTCAAGGCCAAACCCTCCTCTGCCTTCGCTGCCCCACCCGAGCCCTCCTCCTCCCCCTTGCTCCCCCCGCCACGATCTGCCCCTCCCGCGGCCTCTCCCAGGGCCACGGCTCCCCCAGGCGTAGCGCCGTGCCGCCCCTGAGCCCTGGGCTGGCACGGTGCCGGCCCCGCACGTGGTCTACGCAACAGCCTGGCTGAAGGTGGGAACACGCCAGACAGGCGAGGCGGCACGCCCAGCCCCGGACCTGCGGGTCAGGGTTCCTTCGGAGCTGTTTATCCTGGGGCTCATCTGCAACGAGAGAGAGGCACCGATGAGCGGGGTCCCCAGGGAGGCCTCGGCCCCTTCAAAGGAGGGCTCAGCCCTCGGAGCCATTCCCCCTCCACTGCGCAAGCCCCAACCAACCCTCTGTGGAAGGCCCCCCGTGTCTGGGAGAGGCCTGTGCCCACCAGCCAGCCTGGGGCAAAGCCTCTCTCTGGATCCCTGCGGGTGTTCGAGGGTGTTCTGCGACACCTGCTGACGGGTCTGCCCCCCGCGGCCCGAGGGCCCTGTCAGGGCTTCCGGCCGCCTCCCCAGAGCCCCCGACAAAACACAGCGGAAAATGAGCAAGTCACCCAGAGAGCACAGCGCTGAGTGGGTGGGTAGAGCGTCCGCAGGGCAGACCATCTGCACTACGGGGGCCCTGCCCCCCTTGCCCCGCGGGGTTGGACCGGAAGTGGTGAAGGCAGGTGGGTGGCCCTGCCAGCATTCCCCCCACCCCGCATCCCACCAGCACCCCAACGCGGCGCCACCTTCCTGCAGTCCCGGCTCTCACCACCAGGGGGCACTGCCCGCGTGTGTCCATACGCTCCTTCAAGCCGCTAGCTGCCCCCCTCTGCTAACTCAGCCTCCTCTGCTGTGATCCCGGGGGGAATCCAAAGCCTCCCCTCCCCATCCGGACAGGCCCCTGTGCCCTGGCAGACGCTGCTTCCCCGCGCTGCCCCCCAGGGGACAGGACGAGGGCCCTGGGCTCTCACCCGGAAGGAGATGGTCCTGGGGCTGGAGCGCCGGAGGGAGCTGCTGTAGGTGGCCCTGGGGCCCGAGGACGAGCCCTCCGCTCCCTCCTTTCTAGGAATCTTCACCTGGGGGGAGGGGGAGGGTCACACGGGCAGCCTGGCAGCCCCGAGCCCGAGCCGCGGCGGGGACGCCAGGTGGCCGGGCCCCCCTCCCCCCGCCGGGGCTGCAGGAGGAAGGGGGCAGTAGGAAGGCCTCTCGTCTGCCGGGGGGCGGTGGGCACGGATCCGCAGAGCCAGGCCGCCAGGCGCGGGGCCGGGCCCCTGAGAAGGACGCGGGGTCTGGGGCCCTGAATCCCTTTCAGCACCAGCCCCCCTCGGCGTCCCCTGATCCGGCAGTGACCGGGAGCCATCGCGGGAGAGGACACGGCCAAAGTCAGCGTGAAGGAGGGAGACGGGAGACAGCAAGGGGGCCGCAGACACCGGGGCAGGACTGGGGGGCGGGGCGGGGGCGGCACTGCCAACCTGGACTGTGATGGTCGGGAGGCTGGCAGCCGCGGGCGGAGGCTGGCAGGTCCCTGGCTCTGCCGAGGACCGCTGGTTCTTCCCGGGGGGAGGGGCTGCTTTCTGGCCTGCCCCTGCCGCGGGCTGCTCCTGGGCCGGGGGCTGCTCCTGGGCCGGGGGCTGCTCCCTGGGCTGGGGCTGCTCCCTGGGCTGAGGCTGAGGCTTCTCCCGGGGCTGAGGCTGAGGCTTCTCCTGTGCCTGGGGCTGCTCCCTGGTCTGAAGCTTCTCCCGGGGCTGAGGCTGCTCCCTGGGCTGAGGCTGAGGCTTCTCCCTGGGCTGGGGCTGCTCCTGAGGCGGAGGCTTCTCCCCGGGCTGGGGCTCCTCCTGAGCCTGGGGCTGCTTCGAGCCCAAGGCCCTCTTTGGGACCACCTTTGCCTCTGAGGCCGATGACTTCTCAAAGAGCAACGTTCTCTCAGACACCAGTCTCCTCTCTGAACTTGACGTCTTCCCTTGGGTCGGCAGCTTCTCGGAGACGCCTGTTTTTTCTAAAATTGGTTTCTTGTCCTCTGCCACGTCCACCTTCTGGGACAGTGCTGTGCTCTCAGTGATGGAGGCTGCCTGAGAGCCCGGCCTCTTCTCCAGCGCAGCTGCCCCCTCTGGAGCAGAGGGCTTCTCCTCTGAGCCTGGGGACTTCGCCGACACCCCCTTCTGCCCGCCTCCTGGCTCTCTGCCCACCTCCTCCTGGGCCCAGGGGCCCCGCTGCTCCCGGCTCAGTCTGCGGCGGGGTGGCGCCCCCACCTCCTTCTTGGGCGGGAGGGTCTGCTGCCCGGCCTGCCCAGGGCCGGAGCTGTCCCTTCCCTTCTCCGCCTCCAGCCGCTCCCGGACGGTGGCCTCTGACACTTCCACCAGCTGCCGCCTCTGTCTCCGCTCCTGCCGGGTCCTGAGGATGGCCTGGACGTCCTCGGTCTCATCTCTGGAGGCTGGGGATGGTGGCTTGGGTCCCTCTGCTTCTTCGACACTCGGCAGCCTGAGCCAGAAGGTGGGGAACAGAGTCAGAGGACGTTGGAGGAGGGAGGGAGCCTGGCCTTGCTCGGAGGGCAGGTGAGGCGCGACCCAGGGGAGAGCCCAGCACAGACCCGGCTCACGGGAGGCTCAGGAAACCCTGGCCCTTCTCTTGCTGCCCTCGAACCCCAAAGTCGAGGGGGCCAGACCAGTCCCCGCATCCTTCCCCTAGAAGGGAATTCCGGAGAGTCCGAGTTAGGGGCTCAGCCCGGTTTAGTGGGAAGGCAGAGCCAGGAGCCTGACAGACCAAGCAGGCATGTCAGCGCGGCACCCGTGTTCTCTATGACTCAGTTTCTCCACCTGTAAGTGGGTCTGTGGTGCCTCTCTGGGGGATATTGTGAGGGCTGAGTTACGCCCACCACACGCCCAGCCATGCTCCGGCCCGCAGACCGAAGCGAGGGGCCGGGGCCGTTTGAGCCGTGCGGTGAGCAGGCCAGGCAGGTCCAGGCGGGCCTGGGGCGGCGGGGCAGGGGGCGCTCCTCTTCGTGCCCTGAGTCACCCCCTGGGCCCCAGATGCCGCGCTGAGTCCTGACGTAACACCCGGCCCCCGCCCCAACCGCGCACCTGGCCGGGGCCGGCTGCCCTGCACTCTGGGCCAGCCGGGGCGCCTCGGCGTCGTCCCCGGTGGAGCTGAGGTTCCGGTGGCGTCGGCGGCGCTCGCGTTGCTGCTCCTCCTGGTCCTCCAGGCTCCACTGCTGGGCCAGGCTGCGGGGGGGGGGAGGCAGGGGGGCACCGGTCAGAGGTCAGCGAAGCCCAGGAGCCCCCAGACCCTGGCCGGGCACCACGGGCGCTGAACCCGCAAATGTGCACTGTGTGTGGAAGATGGTGCAAAAGACCGAACGGAAGACATCTGAGACATAGTTCTGTGTGGGGGTCGTGTATTTTGGATATTTTGGACTAAGTCCGATATGATACGAAAATTAAAATCACCTGTTTCTCTTTACTTTTTTGATGGGTCAACCAGAAAGTGTCACACTTTAAATATGGCTCCTATTCTACATCTATTAAGTGTCTCTTAAATTTCTGCCACAGCTGCAGGATTTGGGTTAGCTCCTCGGCCGCAGCTCAGCTGTGACGCAGGGACAGGTGAACTCCGTGGGCAGGGCCGTCCTCATAGTGGGCGTCGAGCAGCGCCCAGCCCCGCCACTGGGTGCCAGGAGACTCCCTGCCCCCCCCCCCCCGATGGAACAAAGATGCTCCCCGACGTCCCTGGGTGTCCGTGGGGAGAAAAAACGACCCTCGCGGAGACCTATCGGGTCAGCCTTGGCCGTGGACCCCACAGCGGAGTGGGGCGGGGAAGGGGGCAGGTGGACTTGACAAGGTCCCCTTCGCTCTGGGCTTGGGTTCTTGGGCAGCGACAGACATTGCCCAGCTTTTCAGAGGAGAGTCTCGGGAAGAGGACCTCCTGCCCTGGGAAAGCTCGCGATGCCGCCGCCCCTGCCTTTCCCAGGGGCTCCTGGCCTCTTTCCCCTCCAGCGCCAGCTCCCACCGCTGGGGAGCAAGGGGACCCCGTACCCCTTCACTCTCACAGCCGCGCCGCTGCCAGCCGCCCCCTGCCCTCTCCAGCCATTGACCCGCCCACCACCTGCCAATCAAGCACCCTCAGCTGTGGCCCCGCCCACCGCCCCCGCCCACCCGCCGGATCCACCCGTCCTTCCTCCCAACCAGAGCAAACACTCCTGAGCCAGCTCCACATCAGGATTGTGGGGTTCGCCAGGCGAGACTGGGTCCCCGCCCCGACACACCTCCTCCCCGGCAGGCTCGGGGCGGGGGGCGGGCCCAGGGTCGACGCAGCCCTCCTGCCTCGAGGGGCGCCTCTGCTCCCCCCAGCGGAGATGGAGGCTCCAGTCGGGGCTGCGGAGCCTCGACCACAGAATGAGGACAAGATAGCCGTGGCCTCCGCACGACCCCGCAAGCCCTGCACATCTTTCATTCATGGGTTCGTTCGTTCACAACCACGAACGAGGGTCTCCTAGGACCCAGGCCCCTGGCTTCCTTGTTCATACCCAGCGACTCCAGGGCCAGTCTGGGCTGTGTTCCCGGCTCACTCCCCCTCGGGCCCCTCCCTGGGCCCTCGTCCACGGTCTGGGATAGACGCCGAGGCACCCACCCTCCGGGGAAGGTGACCCCAACTGAGTGGAAGCTCCTGTCCCCTGACAGCCATGGAACCCCCGCCTGTGGTAACTATGGGCTGAGAAAGGGGCCCACTTGACACTGGAGGACACACCAAAACCCGCACAGGTGCAGAGTCGGCGCGCAAAGGGCGGCGGTGGCGGCGAGGCCCTACACCGGTGCCCCACGCCGCCTGGCCCTGCCCGGCTGTGCCCCTGCCCTGTCGGCCTCAGGCCCCCGCAGCCCTGGGGGGCGCAGCCTCGTCCTGCTTGCAGAGGAGGAGGCTGAGCGTGCAGGGGTTAAGGCCTTTTCCAAGACAGCGCAGCAAATAGAAAGGGGCTGTGATGCCCTCCCAGGACAGCCGCTCAAAGCCCAGCACCCAGAGGGCCGCCTTCCCGGGCCGGCCGCTGCGGGGAGGAAGGAGCGGCCGCGGGCCGACGGGTGGGATTCCCCGCCCAGGGCAGGCTGAGCCCGCGGACAGCCCGCGGGAGCAGGGCTGGGGAAACCCAGAGGCTGAAGCACTGACCTTTCGGGCTCCAGGGCCCGGCCCAGGGTGGAGCCCGCGGGTCCCGGCGTCCAGGCGAGTCCCGGCCACTCTCACCGGCTGACGGCCGCTCCCTCCCGGCGGGCAGCCCTCCCCGCCGCCTCCACCTTCTCCGGGGACGTGCGCCCCGTCTGCCTCCCTGTGGGGCTGCGATGCCCAGCTGCCCCAGGCGGAGGAGGGCGGTGTGAGGCTGCCCCAGCGGCGAGTGCCCCGGGGCTCGGGAAGCATGAGCTGCCAGCCTTGGAGGCGAGGACAGGCAAGGGGCGCAGGCCGGGGCTGAGGTCCAGCCCCACTGGTTGTGTGACCTTGGGCCAGTCCTCCGCTCCGAGGGTTCCACACAATCAGGGTCACCCGGGGGGTCCCTGCGGCCTCCCCAGGCCCTGGTGGTCTGGGAGAGGTGTGGGGGAGGCCGAGGGCACATTGGGAGGTGGGGGCTGCCTGAGGCCCGGGCAGGAGAATGATTAACCACGGGCTGCTCAGGACAGGAATTCCCAGATCCACCTTCACCCCCCGCCAACGGGCTCGGCCCGGCCCCGCCCGCACCCAGGCCGGCCCAGGGAGGGGAGGACGGGCCGCTGGCCAGGGCCCCCAGCTGGCCGGCCCTGCGCTGCCCCGAGCCAGAGCCGGCGCCTCGGCACCGGCCCCCCACGCCGAGGGTGGGCTGCAGGCCGGCCCTGCGCTGCCCCAGCCCTCCCAGCCCCGCGGGCTGACAGTGACTCACAGCCCCCTCCCTCCTGCCGCCGGGCACGTTCGCCAGGGAGTGGCCCTCTGCTCCCGGCACCTCGCCGAGGCCCCTGGACACTGGTGGGAACGCGGCCCCGCCCCTGCCGCCAAGCGGGGGACAAGCTCAGACCAGACCCCTGGGCCCACCTGAAAGGCGCGGTACCCACAACACACACACGCAGGCGGGCGTGCCGACGACATGCCCCCGCCCCAGCAGACAGCTCCCGGGCAGGCACGGCTGCTTCGCGCGTCCGACCCAACGTGCTGCGCTGAGGTCTCCGGCCACCACTCAGGTGGGCCCTCCTCAGACACCCAAGACCCGGGCGCGGCCCCACGAGAGCCTGCCGCCCTCACAGGCATCTGCCCGTGCTGCAGGCCGCGAACACGCCCGTGGGCACGCGTGTGCGTGCCCATCCGCCGATGCACTCGTTGCTGGAGTGGCGGCACACCCACGCCCTCCCCCGGGCACGCTGACCCACATGCAGAGTCCAAGGCCGCGCCCGCAGCCCCGCCCGGAGCACATGCCACCCCCGGGGCGTGTCCAGCCTCCCGGGGGCCTGGGTCCCTTTCCCAGGGCCCTGAGCTCCCTCCGTGCCTGGGGCTTAGTGCCCCCCCCCCGAAGACCCAAGGGCCCTGTTGTGCGTCAGAGCAGCGGGAGCTGGACCCCCCACAGCCCAGGGAGACAAGTCGCCGGGGGGAGGCTGAGGGAGGCCCCGGAGGGGCTCTGGACACCCTCACCCACGGGGGGCGGAGAAGGACACCCCAGCGCCCCCTTAATGGGGAAGGCCTGGGAGGCAGCACCGGCCATATCCCGGTGCCCACCGGGGAGGGGGCGGAGGCCAGCTTCTGCCGGCCAGAGCCTGTGGGCGGGGGCGCGGGGGCCCGGGTCCGAGCTCCGTGGGCCTCCGTCTCCACCGGGGCCAAGCCGTGCGCGGGGCAGGGCTGAGACGGTGACGGTGCTCGTGGGAGCATTTACGGGATAAGGGGGTGTGGGGCAGCCCTGTGGCTCCGGCAGAAGCTCCCCTTCTCTGACCCTTAGGGGACGCCCCGCAGGCAGGGGCCAAGACACCCCGTCCCCAGCCCCCTGGAGGGCCCCACTGACAAATGAGACACACGCGCAGGGACAGCACCAACCCTGAGGTCACCTGGCCCAGACGGCGCCGAGGCCGCCGCCCTTGATCTGAGGCGCCCACTCCGCCTCGCCGAGAGCGGCCGAGGGACACCTCACCGGGGCCAACAGCCGCGGGCAAGACCTGTCGGGCCGATGGGTTCTGGCCACCGGCCACCTCCCTATCCCCAGGCCCGGGGCTCCAGGCCGAGGCCCTGGCCTCCCCGGACACCCGGGGGCCGGGGGTGGGGGGAGGAAGGCTGGGCGAGCAGGAGCACCGCTCTGTCCCCGGGGGTCCCCCTGTGGGCTCCCAGGCCGCCCCCCGCCAGGGGCAGCCAGGCCGGGTCTGGCCTCAGTGCCAGGCCCCCCAGACAGGCCCCTCACAGGAGCGCGGCTGCCCACCTCCGGCCGCCCGGCTCACCTGGACAGCGCCGACCAGTCCTTCCTGCCGGACATGCTGCCGCCGAAAACCCGCGCGCTCCGCGGGGCCGCCTCACCTGCGTGCCCCTCCCCCGCCGCCAGCCCAGGTAAGTCACCTGGGCTTATATCCCCCGCCCGCCCCGCGGCGTGCTCTGATTTGCCGCCAGGAGCGGCCCGGGGTGTGGGCTCCCACGTCGCCGCCCTCGTCCCCGCCCCCGGCCCCCGCACGCCGGACAGACGGTCGCTCGGACCCGGGGACGGACGCCCGGGCGGCGCGGGGCGAGGGCGGCCAGCTTCCTGCTCAGAACCAGTCGGACCAGCTCGGCGCTGGGCGCCTCCTTGCGCAGGTGTCGCGGCCCCGGGTGCCGCGCGGGGGGCGGGACCCGCAGATCGGGGTCAGGCTGAGCTCACTGCCGGGAACGGCTTCGCCCGCCCGAGAAGCCCAGGGCAGGAAGCCGGGGCGGAACCGGGCGCAGGTACCGTAATCGCTGGAGGAGAGCGCCCTGCGCGCGGCTCCTGGGCGGGGGCCTGGGGCTGCTGCGCAAGGGGCCGCCCCCGAGCTGGGCAGCGCCCCGCCCGGGACGCGATTCTGAGCTTCCGCTCTGCCAGGTCGCAGCGCCCGCACCACTGGGAAAAGGGGAAGCGGTCCCAGGCGCTGTTCCCGGTCGCGGGTGATGGACTTTGGGCTGGAGGGGCGGGTGTGTAACAGGCCAGAAGAGGCCTCGGTTTCCCCAGAAGGAAGATGTGGACCCGGATGACTGGTTCTGGGGCCACTCGGGCAGCGGCCGCACCGGCTCCCCGCACCTGCCCAGCGGGGCTGGTGGGTGCGACTGCCCCCTTGCCAGGCTCAGCACGGGGAGCACTGCCTCCCCAGATGGGTCAGAGCTGCAAGGGCGGCGGAAGCCTCCGCGGCCCGCGCACCCTGGTGAGGGGGCCTGGTCCTGGGAGTGTCCCTGGGCCTTGCTCCAGCCTGGCCTCCCCGGGGCACTGACCCAGGGCACAGCGTCCTGGGTCTCCCAGCGAAGGAAACACGCACAGCGCCCGCCCGCTACGACCTCTCTTTCCCCAAACGCCCCCTCCTCCAGGGAGCCTTCCTTCCTGGCCTAGGAAGCGAGGCCGGGGTTCCAGGGCTGAGTGCTGGCCGGGGCCTGGCCCTGAGCTCGGATCTGCCACTTGTGAACCCCGGGACTTGGGTGCACATCAGCTGCTTCTTCACCGGGGTCATGGAAGGAAGACCTTGCCCCGCCTGCTTCCCGGTGGGGGGATGGAGCGAGTGGTGGCTGGGCCCGACTCCGGAACCTGTCTCCCCAGGCATGTGGGGAACGGGTTTCCCGTGGCGTCTGCGCTGGCACCTCAGCTCGGCAAGAAAAATTCTCCAGGCACGTGGAGCCTGGCCCCTCCGAAGGCATTTCCTGAGGCCACGGGCCAGTCATGTACGTGCCTACCTGTCAAAGTCTGACGCTCTCTCTGCGGGTTTTTATCTGCAGAGAGAGCGTCGGACTTTCTCTGCAGACACAAAGCACAGGAGGCGTGGACGGTAGGCGTGCGGGCGACACGAGATGTGGGGACAGGCCAGTGAGGTTCGGCACGTGTTGTGTGAGCACTTTCCAGCTGCTCTGTGCCCGCAGCAGCCCTGAGGGCACGGTGGTGACCGAGGGCCACCAGCTAGAGCGCCGTTTCCCGCGGCGGACCTCTGGAAACCACGCGCACATCTCTCAACAGGAAAAGGGAGCCCTGAACGATGGCCTGTTTGTCCTTTGTTCCTTTGAGCCGCCGGGAGCACATCTGTCGGGACGACGAGAAGACGGGAACGGCCGCGTGGGGGGGAGGATTCATACACGGGCGCCGACGTTACACAGAGGGAACGGGGACAGGTACACACGCGTGGACCGTGTTCGGCCGTGCGTGGAGGGGAGGGGCCCGGGGGGAGGGGCCCCGGGCGTCCGAGGCAGGTGCACCGCCGGTCTCCAGGTGTGAGATGCTCATTCTGTAACTCTCCCCTCTATACGTCCATTAAACGCTGTCCGGTGTGTGCTGCTCACTTCCTCTGGGGGATCCGCGAGGACACGCGATCCCAGGGGGAGCCCCAGGGCAAGGCCACGGGCTCCCCAGACTGCGGCCCGCGGGGGAAGGGGCCCCTCTCTGCTGCCAGAAGGGACGGCAGGCCCTGGAATCCCCCGCCCACCCCCGCCTTCACAGGGCCGCTTCTCCTTCCCCACGGCGGCCAGAGCGGGGATCCCGGGGGTTCCCTGTCCCCACAGCAGCGGGGGTGGCGGTCGCGCCTGACAGTCACAAGCACACGCGCGCGCGCGCACACACACACACACACACACACACACAGAGTCCTCCCTGGGGGATCTGCGCTCACAGCACCTGCCCAGGCTCCCAGGTGAGGCCATGCTTCTCTCCTGAGGTGGAGCAAAGGGCCAGGTCGCCGAGCCCGCGGGAGAACCAGGTGTCAGCACTGGAGCCAGGCACGTGCGGAGAGGGGCCCGGAGTCGGCCGCCAGCCCAGACGCCAGGGCACCTGCCTCCGGCTGGGACGCCAAGCTCCGCCCGCACCCGTGTCCTCCGCGCACTGGGAGTCGAAGGACCTGCGTCTCAGTCCCGGTTTAGGTCAGTGACCGTCCCTGTCCCTCTCTAGGCCTCCAGACCTTGACTGCCATGCTCCTCAGGGGGGCTACGGAGCTCACGCTGCTCGGCCCTGGCCTCGGGGGGCTGCCCCCCGGGGCCTACTCAGGAGGTTGTGTGGGTGGGGGCTTGTCAAGAGAACAGCCTGGCCTCGCAGGCAGCGGAGGGCCCGCGGGCGGCGGCTCCGGGGCTCGGTGGGGCAAGCGCCCCGCTGGGTCTGCGTCGATCCCTGCAGCCCGGCCCAGGCTCCGGGAGCTTGGTCACCCACCCGGAACGAAAGTGCCCTCCCGGCGGTCCCGCCCGGAGTCTGCGGGGAGTCTGGCTTGCTTCGCAGGGGGCCACTGGGGCTAATGTTTAACCGGCACCCTCCCCGTCAGGGCACTTCACCCGAGCACCTCCGTCCCTGCGCCCCGAGCCTGCCGCGAGGCGGCTGCAGACAGACAGGCTCAGCCCCTGCCCCCTGCCCCGCCGGCTGGGGAGGGGCGGCAGCTGGCCGCCCGAGGGCGCAGACAGCCAGGGGCGGTGGCAGGTGGTGGCATTCAGCCCTGGACGTCCCTTCCGAGGAGCCCCAGGCCCATCTCCAGCTACAGAGGGCCCTCACCAGCTGCTGGGGGTGGGCTTGCCGCAGGCACGCCTGCAAGCGGCCCCGCCGCTGCACCCCGCCTCACATGTGATGTCCTTTGCACACGTCCCCTCAGGTGGGGCTACGGGCACTTGCCAGGCGCAGGTGCAGGGCGCTGACCCCAGCTCCGGCCCCGTGGAAAACAGCAGGCTGGGCTCTGCGGGCCCAAGTCTGTCCCCCGACAGGGCACCCCAAGGCTGGCTGGCCGAGGTTCCGCTTTCCAGTCTGCAGCCACCGAGCCCTGGGTCGGAGGGTGGCGGAGGGGAACTCCCCTCGCCTGCATCCCCTCCCCTGTCGGTCTGAGGTCGCAGCGTCCCCCTCCGGCCGCTGCGAGACAGAGGGCGTGACTCTGACAATGCTCACAGCCCCGTCTGCTGTGATGGAGGCAGGGACTGGACGGGGATAAGGGCGGCCCCGCGGTTTCCTGGCTGAGCGGCCCTGGGGCGCGTGCACCGCTCTGTGCCTCGGGGCCGCCGTCGGACCTCCGGGGGTCGCCCCAGTGCCTTTCCCGGGGGTGGCTGCGAGGGCGGAAGGCGTTCCGTGTCCGGGCGTGGCCGGGGCTCAGGGAAAGGGGCTGCCGCTCGCTGTGCTCCACGTCCGGCCTCCGTGCTGCGGGCCCTCGGGGTGACGGGCGGCTGCAGTGGAATCGGGACCCTCCCCGGCACGCGGGCCCCCTCCGCGGCGGAACTCCAGTCCCAGCCCCTCCCAGACTTGCTTCCCACCCACGGGTCTGTGGGCCTTCCCCAGAAGGCCCTGCCTTGGGTGCGTGCAGCTGCCCCGCCTCCTCCGCCCACAGGCTCCCTGAGCGGAGGTGTTTGTTTTGAGTCAGGCCCCGGGCTGGTCGCTTGTCTGGTGAGGCAGGGTGGGGAGCCCAGAGGGCGGGGGCCCCAGCTTACTGGTGAACTAGCAGAACGGAGGTTTGGCTTTGGGACCCAGGGCCCGGCTCCCCCAAGGGGCTGACAGGAGGCAGAGCAGGGAGACCAGACTGGGGCCCCGGCCAGCCGGGGGGAGCCCTGGGCAGCAGGGAAGGGGGCTCCTTGGCCTCCTGGGGAAGGACCCCTCCCCATCCTCTGAGGCAGGGAGGCCCCACGGGTCCTTCTGCGCAGTGTGTGTGTGTCTGCACAGCAAGGCTACTGGCTGCGGCAGGGACGGTGTTCTCTGCACGCGTCTCCCTTTGTGCCCATGAGCTGTTTGCAGCGGGAACCCAGGGCACGTCGCTGCCGCCCCAGGCCGGTCCCATTGAGGGCCCCTCGCCGCTGGCGCTGAGGGGCCCCGGGGACAGACCAGCCCGGAGAGCAGCTGGCACTGCACTTTGCCCCCGGCTCTGGCATTTATGGCAGACAGCACGCGGGGACAGAGGGCAGAGGGCAGAGGGCAGGACAAGGGCCGCAGGTGGTGGAAGGGGCTCCCCCTGTCCTGGGGTCAGGAGGCCAAGGGGCCCAGCTCGGGGACCAGACACTTGCTCTGAGGGCTGAGCTCAGAGCCTCCAGGACGCGCACTCTGTGGGGGAGGGCGGGGGAGGGGCCGCCGCACCCCCTCCCACATGCAGCCCGCAGGCTGGCGCCCTTGCTGGGCTTTGGGTCCAGTGTCGGGGATGCAGAGAGGACCTGACCCAGGGGCCGGACCAAGCTGCCCACCGCAGGGGGCGGGACGTTGGACCATCCGGGAGCCGGGAGGGAATAACCGGGGACCAGGGCAGATGCAGGCGAGGAAGCCCCTGGACGTGTGGAGAGGTGCCACCTGGCGGCCAGATGTGCACCTGCCTCGGCCTGCAGGCCCGGGGCGTCCCTCAGCCCCGGGAGAGGGCCCGCCTCTGAGAGGAAGGGGACTGAGGAGCCAGGCCGCG